GACAGTTTACGATTAATTTCGCACTACTGTTGCAAATAATTTCATTCTACACTAAAATGCCTTTATGAATTTAAATCTTTAAATTCAACCCTATGCTTGAAAGAATTCACCTTCGATATTTAACGATTATTATTTCATAATATTTTTTTAATTGAATGTAAATTAATTATTATTATTATTAATTAATGATAATTAATTTTGTATGATATCCTATATCTATTCTGTAGAGATATTTATTGTTTTGATTATTAGTTTTGTTCACAATTTTAATACGTAATTCTTTTATTGAAAAAATAAATCTCGGATAAAACCGATTTTTCTTTAAAAAAAAAAGAAAGAAAGAAGCTTTAATCGTGCCAAATGTTTTTATATGTAAATGTTTCGCTCATTATTTAAACAAAAAAGAGCAGGACCAGGGAAGCCTATCAAAGTCGCATAAATTTATTTCTGCATTATTCCTGCAGAAAAAGAAGCCTTGTACTCGCGTGTTCTATTATAAAGGAACGTATCAAGATAGCTTTCGACACCGTAATTTCAGCTTTGAGATACACCACCGTAACGAATGAGCTCATAAACTCTACACCACGGCGTTATCGAGTCTATTAAGAGCTTTTCATTACGAAGAGAAACGAAACGTTTCCTTATCCTTAACAAACTTCGTTTCACCATGAGTAAAAATCTTTTCTTTGTTATTCAAAATTTGTTTCTTATTTTGTCTTCTTTTTCTACAAGAAAGAAGAGAAATATTTCTTTTCTTAAAGAAATATAAATTTGGAAAAAAGACAAAAGAGAATTTTTAATTTCAAGAAAACAAAATTCTTGTGAATTTTTATGAAGATTCAAAAGATTTCAAACTTTTTTCGGACATATTTATTAAAACTATCATATCATTCTAGTTGTTTGCAAATTCACACTAACAAATTTGAAACGCGTGAGTTGGATAACGATTACGCACGATTAATCACGCAATTAATCTCGTAATGATCTTTAATGATCACGCGTAAATAAACGCGATTAAAGACGGCTTAAAAAATTGCTCGGTTAGGTCAGCACTTTTTGATTCGACCTTCCAATCTAAAAATTTTTTATTTGCGTCACGAATGATCGATGATGTAATGATTGATAATGTGGTATTAAATCATTGCATCTCTTTCTGCATCTAATTGTGTGGAAGTTAGAAAACGGACTTTTTCGAAATTTTAAACTTTTTTTTAAAAGTGTGTTCATGTTTTAAAAATATTAAATTTTTGAAAATATTTAAGCAAAATAATGAGAGACAATCAACTACTGTTCGTTTGAATCAGGGCATTGTAGAAAAGTTAATAAAGGATATATAAATATTTATGTTCAATTACAATTTCTGAATTTCTTGATAAATAGCCTCGCGAAATTGAAAAGAATAAACTTACAATTATTTAATTAGAAAAATATGAATATTTCTAAATTTATATATCTCTCTTCACAAAGCGTTGCGATTTTATTGTGCGTGTAAATTGAATATCCAGAAAACAGCAACCACATGTAAAACGTACAGATTTTGAATACTCGTGAAAATCCCACGTCACCAAAAGTTACATAAAAGGATTTGACGATTTCCGCGAACACCTTCCGGTTTTCGGCGGGCCGAGATCGATCTTTTGGGCCCGCACGAGATCGATCAGTCCCACGGGAGACGGATGATGCGCCTCGACGGGACTCGACGCGAGACTGGAGCTACAGATTATAGAGTCGAGAAGAGGGCTCATCTGGGAAGGTTCTCCCTCTCTCTCTTCTTTCTCAGCATCTTCGACCATCTTTATCTGCTCTCTGTCTCTGTATCGGTCTCTCTTCTCTTCCTCCGGTCCACACATCGCCGATCTCGTTCTCCCCCTCTTTGGGTTAAGACGACGACGATGACGACGGACCCACCCCTTCTACTCGGCTGTTAACACCACGCGTGTGTGAAGACACGTACGCGTGTACACGCGTGTTTCGAAAGGATGCGCTCCGATGCTCGATCGATCATCAGTCGAGAATGCGATTTGCGTGAAATTGGCGGAAGTCGGGAGAGTAAGCTTCTTTTGCTCGTGTCAGTATATTAATCGGTACTAATTTATTTCGACGATCAACTCAAGAGTTGAGATTCATTTAGAATTAGCAGAAGTCGAGGGAATAAATCCTCCCTCGAAAAAAGTTTTGCTGCTTCTTCCTGAAACTGATTTTAATACATTTCCACTTCAAAATTTTTAAAGAAAATATTGTAGATAAAGTAAAGTTTCCCCTGATGGAAAAATTAAATTAATTCTAAATTTATAGCTAATCGATATATTTTAATCCTTTCACAGAAAAAATAGAATGATCAATTTTAAACAAATTAATTATTCGTAATTCATTTTATTTAATAATTGATATATCTTTGATATTTTTTGATAATTATATTTCTCAGATTAATGAAAATGTTATTGCATTTTATATATAATCTTCTTATATAATCAATTTTATTGCAAGCCCCATATTTATCCAAGAGTTATGATAATTATGTAATAAAGGAGCGATTGGCGAAGTTATCCCGCATGTTAACATACTTTCATAAGATCTCCTAGTTAATGTCAGATAAATTTTTATAATCTTTCCCAGGAACTATAATATGCTGGAATTTTCTAACAATGCGGAGCTTGATTCAGACGTTATCAAATGAGGCTACAGCTTCGATTGAGAAATCCGGATGACATTGGCCTTTGGGTTCTGTATCAAATTTAGAAGCAAGTCAACGCTTCCGGAGATTGTTTATGTAGGACATGTAATGCATTTATAATCTTACATATATACGGATACTTTATCGTTAATAATTGATTATAAGTCATAGGAAAAAATACAATATTCAATAGAAAATTAATTTACAAATTGCAACCTTAAAAGAAATATTATTAAAATTTTATAAATTGTTTAAAAATTTTTAATATATATAGTTTATTAATACATAATCTACCTTTTAACGTGGGATTTAAATTTTTAACGTCATCAAATTATGGACTTTGCTCCGTTTCTTTTCATCGATATTACGTAATTGTCGCTGACGGAATTTAACGTAGCTTTTCAGGATCCTCGGACAGACTAATGATATGCGGGTGGGAATGCAGCGACTCAATAGTGTGCGTAACATATACGTATATACAATGGAAAAGCAAAGAGAGAGAATCGAGTATATACACATGGTTAATGGGAGCGCATATAAAGCATATTGGAGCACGACTCGGTATTCCGAGTCCGACTCGCACAAGTCAAGAGAGAGATGATCGATAATACGGTAAAATCTGCATCCACCAAGTGTTTGTCAGCAGCAAAACTTCCTCTTGCCTGTCGCACCCACGTGGGTTCAGTTACTTTCGATATTCAATTATTTTCATGCTCGATATTCGTGTAAAAATGTCTATTATAATACATAACAATTGGACTCTATAATCCGACATTTTTAATAAAGATGATATTTACGCGTATTGGAAATTTTCTTTATACATGAAAAATCCTAAATTATTGTTTTGTTCATTGTCAAGTTCACTGAGCTTTGTAATTCGACTTTTCTCATGCGAATTCCAGGCGGCAAACGAGGCGTGTCAAGCATGCCGCTATTCGTTTCTCTTGGCTTATCCGTGGAATCAAACGCTTTCTTTCGTATGCAAAGTAGAGAACTCACTCCGGGGGTTCGACATCGTGTCAGATGTCGGAATAGATGCTATTTCGCAATCAAAGATTGCTTCGTGAAGATCTTATGAATGCAAGCGTGCAACTTTCGCGCTTACGATATTCTTCGCGATCCGTAGTAAATTAAGAATTTCATAGTACAAAATTTTTCCAATGATATAATTAGATGCTTTTAATAATTAATTAATAATTAATTTTTATTAGTTAATTAATAACAGCATCTAATTATATCATTGGAAAAATTTTGTACTATGAAATTCTTTTTGTACTATGAAATTTACTACAGATAATTAGATGCTTTTATTTATTAATTAATTATTTTATTATTGTAACATTTATTATAAATAATTTCATTATAAATATTTATTATAAATATTTTTTATTCCGAAAAAATTCTGATTAATTTGAAATATAATTCCCTAATTGAAATTTGAAATAATAGCAACATTTTATATTGGCTTAAAAGCTATGCATTCCGAGATTAAATACCTGGATACGCGATACTCGCGCGCGACTCGCATAAGACGCATCGATACGTCGTGATTGTAATTCGCAACGCGACAGACGAGAGATCGTCCAACACAAACATGATCGACTGTGATTACTAGCTGGACTACCGCCGATCTCGAGCCGGCAGCTGCACCTTCAATCAGCGCGTACGTTGCCGCGACGTATAATGCGTACGATAGGCTCCCATTTTAGAAGCAATGAACTTAAAAAAAGACTTAGACTTGAGACGAGAAAAATGCAAGAAAAGTAAAATTAACATTAAAACAGAAATTAAAATTAAAATTGTGGAAATTGGAAATTCTAAAATTGAAATTGCGATTGACAATAATTCTATCATTACTTAAACAAACGATTTATCGGAGTTTTCATGAGAAATGTTGAGAAGTATTCATTCCTTGCACCCGCTGTACGTATCGAAGCAGTCTCCCTCGTGTGTGAATGTCTCCTCTCGCAGTGTCATAATAATCTTGCTAGACCGCGTGGACTGGTCCCAGGTGAAAAATAAGCGGGATGGATCGCCGTTACTTCTTTCTTGGGCGGCAAGAGAAGCGTCATTAAAGGCAGATCGTGGACAGTTATCAAGAAGCGAGAAGCGAACGCGCATCTCGCGAATGAACAGGGAGCCTCGTAACGATGCTATGAAACAACATCGTAAAACCGCACGTCCACACGCTTATTACGATTAATAGTTCAATCTATCTTCTTATTACGTCAGCGCTCTTTATTTTTAGATGTAGCGATTAATTAATGAATTAAAATATTCGCAAACGTGATAAATAAATTATTGTTCCTCGGCAAAATAAACTTTTTCAATTCTTTTTCCCTTTCTCTTTGGTCCTCGCTCTTTCGGATACCAGACTTTCAATGTACCTCTTCCTCGACTCGTAAACAGCATCTATCAGACTTCTTCTCTCCCAGAAATTTTCCTCCTTCTTCCTAAAGAACTTTTCGTATCTTCGCAGTTGTTTGTTTATCAACTCGGCCAAGTTTTCCAAATAATTAGAATAATTTCTTTGACTATCGATTTTCATATTTTGCATTTTTTCGTGATAGTTCTTCTTTTTATGATAAGGTCTTGCGACTTCATCTCTTCTCGCGTACTTTATCAGGTTTAAAGCAGGCAGACGATGAAATCCTGGTGGTTTCAAAGTCCTACGTTGTCTCGTATGTGACAGACAGAATGCTATATCTTCGTCTTCTACTTTCGATTGTTCTACATTTTGATTTGAAGACGGTTCCGGTTCAGATTTTAAGGCGTGCGCGTTCAGAAAGGCCTCCCGGAGTTCTTTTCCGCGGTTGAACCTACCTGGATCTTTTGACCACCAGGATTCTTTTAATAGCGTTATTTCTCGCTCCCTTTTCTTATCTTGATAAACCTAACGTAAATGCACATGTAAAGAATAAAACTAAACGAAAATAAGAAATTTAAAAATATGTTAATTCTTTAGTAATTAATATTACTTTTAAATATATATATAAGATATTTTTATTTATAATTAGATATTTTTTATTAAGGTGGAATGAATAAATTGTACATACTTCTACAGCATCCTGAACGTCAGGAACAACCTGAAGAATCCAATATGGCGGTTCTAGAGGTTGATTATTGTTCGATTGTTTCAAATCTTTTCTCGTCGTCGATGAATTTGACTTTGATACTTTAATCTCAGATTGTATCTTCGTTTTGAAGTTTTCTGCATTTTTTATCTTCGCTTGATTCGCGACAGCCCATTCAACATCTGTAAGAGGCCAACTGTTGTCAAGAACGAAAGCATCTATGTAATAGAAATTTTTCTCTTCCACTGCATTTGTAAACTTTTCATTTAATTCTTGGTTTCCCTTCTTAATTTTGTAATTTTCATTCTTGAGTGAGCATTTTAAGATAATTAAAGGTAGGAAAACTTTAGAACCGCCTCTTACATCAGCCAAAATGTTATTTCCTTCATCGGTAATTTTCATTCTGACTTTCGCCAAATTGTAGGAAGTTGTAAACCTTATCGAGATGATGGTTCCCGAAGTCGCTCGCAGAACCCATCGCGAGATGCAATTTCTGATGTTCGGAACGTAAGTACCGACTAATTCATCGACTGTGAGCTTAGGAGGTTTGATTTGCTTTTCACCAGGTTGATAAAGAATTGGTTCTCCCTTCATGGTGATTATGCGAATCGCCCAATCTAATTCTCTGATACGGTGTTTTTCGTTCCAACCATAAGCAAATACCGTGTAACCGTCCGACAGATATTTATAGCGAGCTGGAGCCACGTGATTCACGATACGCGTTACTTCGTGCTCGTTTTGATTGTTGAAGACGCGCAATGCGACTCGAGGAAGATCGATCAGCAATTCGAAGGCTGCAAAGACAGTTTCTGCCGGTCTGGTATTCACGACGAGTCTGACAATCGGAAACCATTGTTCATGTCCGATGTTCTCGAGAGCACCCTTGAATTCTTGGATATTCAGAACATGCGCGAAATCCTCAGAATAAGGATAGAGATCGCGCAAACTGTCATGACGATTGATGACGTTTCTCAGCAACTGACTTACGATAGATGAATCAAATAAATCAGATATCTTTAAAAGTTCCTTGCGAACTTGCATATGTAGAGCATGATCAGGATTATGAAGTTGTTTGTATCCTTTTACAAGAGCCATCTTGAAGAAGGACTGAACTATCGTGGCTGCTTTATTGCAATCAGAGATATGATTGTATGATGGTTTCATGGCCTCAAGATCTTGAAGTGTTCTCTGACTTTTTGTCAAGTCATAGTATTTCAGTCTGATATCTGGATTCAGAAAAAATATCCTCAAAGATCGAAGGATATTTTCGAGATCGCTATCGGGAACGATTTTCCTGATTAATCGGACCTGTTCTTCTACAAAGAACTGGTGTATCAGCGAAGTAAAATTTTTATCTTCTCTCAAAAGAATGTGTTGTGAATCGAGCATGTAACTCCGATAGTAATTTTTCAACATTACTGGATAATTATTTGTTCCGAACGCTCGAAAAGCTTCACAGAGACTATCCTTGATTATCTTCGATGTCCATTCTATTCTATCGGATTCTGCGGTCATCAGTTGTTGCACAGTCGCTCGATTTCCGAGATGAAAATCCGTATCAGAAGAAATGATCATCAGACTAGATTCCGAACGGCGATAAATTCGTAAGAGTTGTCTGCCAGCTTCCAGTTCTATGACGGTTGATTTACTACCGATCGTGGAAATAATTATTGTCTGATCCGATCGATTTGATCCGAAAAACCAATTGTATTTTTCCAAGATAAGATAATCCTTTAGATGTGATTCTTCTTTCTTTTTCGGTGCAGTGCAAAGGTTAATCAAGAAGAATTTATTTTCCAGCGAGTCGCAGAATAAATACAAGGGTTTATTTCTTGACTTTAGAATTTCGCTTGTATTGTGAATTTCTGAAAATATTTCTATAAATATTCAGAGAGAAAAAAATATCCATGTCATTTTATTGGATTCGTAGAAAAAAAATCTGATTTAAAAGTCTAAACTTTAGAGAGAAAAATTTTGAAAATTTAGTTATGAGAATCTAATCAATGTAAAAAGGCTAAAAGATGAAATTTATTATTCTTCTCAAAATCTTAAAGATGACTAAAGAACATTTTTTAAGAAGTCATCTGTAGTCTAGAGGCAAATATTGTAATATAAATAAATATTGGAAATTTGAATAGAGCTACTAGTTTATTAAATTTTGACATCAGCATAATGAGAATAAATTTCTGAAAACTGAATTACCTGTTTTCTCCTTCTCGACTTTGTTCATGGCTTTGCGATTCCTGTGGGTTGTTTTTATTAACATATCCCCTATTACTTGAATCGTGCACCGAAAATACTTCAGCTTATAAAACAATTGTATTTCCGTTATGTGTGGTGCCATCATATTAAAGTCAATCCATCGACTGATATTTCCTGTTGTTCCTTCTTTCATCGTGAATGAATCTGATGCTTTCTGAGATTTCGTTCTCCACGCAGATTTATCAGACTGCTCGATTTCATTTGGAAAACTCGAATTTCCTGCGGCATCACTTTCGTCGCATTCCTCGAGAGGACTGATCACCCTCAAGTAACGAATCGGAACGAAATAATCGGTGGGATCGATTATATTTTGCGAAATGGCCCATTTTAACCAGCGATGCAATTTCCACTTTGCTAATGGCGGTTTTACCTCGGGAAGCAATTTAAGTTTCAAAGCTTCAATTATAATCCAAATAAAAACATCTAACAAAATAATAAAAAATGTCTTGAGATACTCTTAATATTCTTTTAATAGATCTTTTCTAGAGAAAATTATTATTCTTAGACTTTTGTGATTTTTTTAACACTTTTGAGATAGTTTTGAACTTTTTTACGTCTTTGGGATCCAGAGGAATGTCGCGTGACTGGACGACGTGAATTACGTGATCCCAGCAAGGTGACAGACCAGGTACTGCTTTGTTTCCGAGTTCTCGGGTATCAGCCAAGAGAAGGAATAACGTGATCGGTTGAGGTTTCTCGGTTTCGATGAGTAACCGCAAAGTTTCTCCAGGTCTTCTCGTCTTGTCGATCATAATGCTATTCGAGCTTTCTATTCGGAAGTGTAAATAGAACGCAATAGTAACAACCATAAGCATGTAAGTTTGACACTTAAGTTCGTATTACCACGAGTAGTTTGCGTTGTCCATTCAAAATGTTCAGAATATTTCATCAGCAGGTCCCATTTATCTTGTAGCGACAAGTGTGTGACGTTTAGCGTCAAGCAAATCCAGCCTACGTATTATTAAAATTCATTTATTTATTTAAAATCTTTCGAAATTGTTGATAAGATTAATCAAGATGATTATCAGTTAATGTCAGATAATAAATTTTAGAATAAATCTTATATTAGAAATTAATAAAAATTTGAAGGTACGCTTTGTTCAAAGAATGCATGTGATTTTAGTGTCTTTTTTAATGATGTTGACGAATTAAACGACGGATGGATAAACCTGTTAAACAAGAGATTGGATGGAAGTCGATGATCTCGCGGTATTCCGTCCAGGTGAGCGAGGCAATTTTGAGCAATGCTTTGGCGAGAAGCATCGGCCACAGCTCAAAGTTGTTGGAGGTGCACGGTAAAAGGGGTCTACCGCCTTTATCTACGGGTATGGTATCATCTACCAGAATACGACGCCAGCATCCCATATGATATAATCTTACAATATACTTTCCTAAAAAAAGGCGCCTGTTGCTTATGACATATTGATTAAGACAGAATTATTGTTTGGCGACTTTAATTTATTGTAAAAATTTTGTTCTCGATATGGTGCGAAACAAAAATGAAGAGCAACTACGTTTTAAATTATTTAAAAATTTCTATATCACCGCGAGAACATTATATCCACCATTCGGATTTATCACTGGTCGATGTTGAATGTCCTTTCCAGCCTTGTTCAAGGAATACACATGCATCCAACCGTACCAGGGTCTATGACTATCGGCCCAGGTGAAATTCGAGTCTTGCCCGCTGATTTGCAATCCTTCTCGGCCGCAATATTGCAAATTCTTCAGCGTGGAAATGAACCATCTTACAAACTATTGTAGAAATTGCCATTATATTATTTTTTTGTAGTAATTTTTAAGCCATTGACGTCAAATTGGAAAAATACCTCGCTATGTAATAAATGCTTGTTGTTCGTAATTAAATCAGGATATTCCACAATCGTTGTGTATACCGTCAATGGACTCTGAAGAATATTTCACATTTGTGATTCACGTTATTACAATAAAATATAAACCTGTTACATTTTAAAGCTTAAAGATCATAATGTGTGTATTAATTTAATAATTGCGTGTGTTATATTTAAAGTACGTAAATGACAGTACAGTTAAGCGCTGTAAATCCTTCGCTCTTATCCATCGGTCAGGTTTCAAGGATTGTGGCATTGCGACATATTCCGTATCCAAGAATAATCCATCGGGACCATCTTTGGGAACTCCCCACTTTTCGTTGTTCAGATCGGAATCCTTCCATTCCAGCCACGGTACATTTGCGACATCAGATTGATTATTTCTAGATTTTCCTGACATATTGTATGGGAAGATATCGCAAGGAAAATCATATTTAAAGCGGCATCTTCAGATGGCATATAAATACATATAAATACAATATATAATGGAGTAAATATTAATTCATATTAAATAATAATATTAACATCAATTTTCTGAAAAAAGTAAATATTTTATTGATCCTTTATATATTATAACATTATTATATGGACAGAATGGAATGTATAGTTATATCTCCGGTAATCGTAAATTAAAAACTCGATTAGAAGAACCTATATTCTTATGTCTATTGTAACAATTATTTGTTATAAAAAAAGAATAAAGTAAAAATTAATTATAGTCTAAAGTATTCTAAGAAATATTTAAAAAAAATAATTGGTAAAAATTCTACGAAAGACCTACAAAGTCCTACATCAGCATTTATTTGTCATTTAATAGTCTCAGCAATATTTTTAATTCCTTCTCTAATCGACAAAATCAAAGTTATTTCATATTATATATACACGAGAGATTTCTCTTTAATTATAATTTCATAACAATATATAGCAAAAGATGCTCAGTATCGATCGATTCGGTAATTAGTATATCACTACTCTTGCACTTTTGTTGAACCAATTATCAACTTATATTATTATCAATATTTCTTTCATCTTTTGGCGCGCACGTAAATAACATCGTTGCCATTCGCTTCGTCGCTAAGTCGACATATTAATCAGCGTGGAATTGCTTATAATTATATATACATTTGATCATTAGAACAGATGACACGCCACACTATACACATTCTCCACATTTGTTAATAATTTAGATAAATAAATCTATTTAGATAATAATACGAATTTTTTTAAAATTCCAGAGTTTTAATTAAAATGAAGAGATATACCTTGAAGGTAATTATCTTAATAATTTCGTGGAGAATAAATAGAATGATTACACTTAGTACTTGGTCAATTTTAAATAGACATAGACCTTCGCCAATAGTTATTACTTTGTTATGATACAATCAATTTTTCACAGGAATAATATTATTTGTGTAACAAATATAGAGATTTATTTAAACTTTCTTTTTCTCTTTCAGCAGATTCATTTTTTAGCGCATTGAGAATCTTTGGCACTAATTCATTAGGAGTTTCTGTCCTTATTAAATGTATAAGCAAAAAATAATATTCACACACCATTATTTTTTTCATCTATAAAGATTCGTAATTTCTTCTCTATCTAAAACTTTTAAAAAATACTTCATCCAGCGGAGAGAGTAGTTAAGTATCTTATATGCGAGAGTGAAGTAAGTAAAGTGTAATTGTGCTTGTGTAGAATCGATGCAACCTATAATGCATTTTCCTCATTGACTACATACATTTACATAATAATGAAGATGAAAGACTTTTAAATAAGAATAAAAAAGAATCTTGCATTAAAGTAGATTTTAAAAAGCTCTAATAATTGAAAGCTTTATATGCCTTCGATTATAACCGAAAATTTTCGTGAATTCACTTTAATTTTTTACTCTTCCTCGCTCCATTTGTTTGTTGGTGTTATTCATTCACAATTATTTGTTGCAATCTAAAATAGTTGAAACTATTTAGATAGTGAAACTCGGCGGCACATGAATATCTTTCTCATCCATTGTGTGTATAACGTTTATGCACAATATATTTTTTTAAAAAATAATCTTGCTCTCTCGTCTTTTATATATTGAAGTAAATTGAAAAATACGCACAAAAAAATATATATGTATATGTATATAAAATAATAAACCTATGTGATCTCTGTTGAGGATGTGCGAACATTAAAAGGCCTTCCGTGTTTATCATGAACGAATGTCCGAAAATAATTCGCATCCTCAAACTGGCAGTGTTTGAGAAACCTGTTTTGCGCGCGCAATTATAGCTCCGTGTAAAACAGGCATTATAAAATTCTTGATAAAATACTAAAACCGGTGCTAGTTATACTGGCGTGTCACATAAATTGTCAAAGTCGTAGAGATCTGCAAATGCATTACATGTAACATTTTCGCGATTCCCATTTACGATTGACAAATAACTTATATATCGAACATAGCTCTCGTATTCAGTTTACTCAATGTTCGATCAAAGCCAGATACTAACGGCAGTTATCACTAGACGGTCAAAATCAAAAAATTCATTATTGCATTGTCCTATAATGCTTTCATACAACTGATACTTTTAGCACAGTCGCTAGCTATAGAATATTGATTATCAATTACTCACTGTTACAGACATTACAGTCTACGCGAATTAAGTCTATCTGAACGGAATCAAAGGCCTGAGTGCAAAATTCGGACGAATCCGTTATTTCGATACTTCTCAAACTTGAAGAGATTAAAAAAAAGAAAAGAAAGAATCTTGGATGAAGAAGAAAAAGTATAGAATCTTGGAGAAAGTATTCTCGAGTGTAATAAATATTGAAGATACTCTTCTTCAACTATCAATATAGCTGCTTGAATGTACGTTTACAACTACGAAATATTTTCTATTTGATTCTTTTAACTTTCCCTCTAACACTTAAAAGAATGTTTCCGCACTTCAAATTAGCATTGTTTGACTCCTATAATAAAACATTTTAAATCGTTGCTTTTTTCTAATCAAAACTAAGCTGTTTAGATAGTATCTTTTTCTATTAAGTAATCGAGATAATAGAGTTGCGTGACGATAAGAAAAAACGAATAGAAGAGGATTCGAGGATAGGTAGGTAAATAAGGCGAGAGAATTCAGCACAAGTGGAACGTATCATGAAGATTTAAGTCACCGTTTGCTTTAGCAGGTTTAGCATGCTTTGCCAGGTCCAGAAGCTCTTTGATCCTCCATCCGTCCGGCTTGAAGTCTTTGAATTAGAGCGAATAGATCTTCCTCGGGCATAGTAGAACCCGATTGAACATTTCCGTTGGCTCTTCGACTTCTTTCCTCCTCGGCATCTTGCAACGTTGATGCAGCTGGTAGAGGACTCCGTTGGTCCTCTAAACGCGAACTCTGAAAGCAATGATTCTTGATTCATGATTCTTGTCTTTCTCAATAAGACATTTCGCAAATACAATATGTGTTTCGATATTCACATGTATAAAAAAATAAATAATATGAAATATGATTCCTAACAATAAAATTTTGTAACGAAGCAATAAGAATTTTTGCATGTTAGTTGAAATTATCAACCTGACATCTGACGAGCATCTCGATAAAGGAATCGTCCGCATCCTGATTAGTATTCAGCCCCGGCAGATAAGGTAATGTCACTCGTTGCTCATCCATCCGTTTGCTTTGCATTCCGGCAATTAATTCTAGCAAATCCTCGCCATCTCTGCAAATGAGATATCAGTTAATTAAAAATGTAAAAATTGTCATGAATATATCATAACTCCATTTAAGATAGAATATCTTTACGTACTTATCTTCCATATCGGATACTTCTGACGTAATCGTTCGACACTTGGAGGTATGTTTTGTGTTGAGCGCACAACGTTGATCGTCCATTCTACCCGATTGAAACCGGGACAGCAGATCGAAAAAGTTATCTTCTTCCTGAGATGGTTGCGATGCGACATTGTTGCCTTTGTCCGATACGATTTCTGATTTATCCTTTTGCTTTGTATCAGGTGTAAGCTAATGAATAATTGTTAGTTTTACTATTTAACAAATAGAATTACATTTTCCAAATAAAATTAATTTTTATCTTTTCTATATAATTCTTAATCAGTTTAATGCTTTCTACAATATCTTTTGATAGTGAAATATATAGCTAAATTATGTAATGAAAAAAAATTTTTTTAATGGAAGTAAATTGCAATAATTATTAAGCCGATTTGTTTGTTTAATCTCCCAATAGCGCGATTCTTTAAAAAAAGTTATGCAAACCTTTATGAGATCGAGATTGTCCATGCTTTGTCGTCTGAGCCTATATCTGCAAGGCGTAGTCATCGGAATGTTCGATGTTGTATTTGTCGATAATTTTTGCGTGTTTAGATTCTCTTTGTTACTCTCTTGCTGACTTTTTTCCAGGCCAAGAATTTTATGTAAATCGTCAATGTTCATCTGCGCGGTAGCTTGACCCATTTCATCTTCCAACTCTTTTGAGATTTGTAAATGCAGATTTGCATAATGCAGCGCTTTTTCATGATTGCCCATTGCGGCATAGGCGTTGCCTAATGACCAGCAGGCGCGTCCTTCGCCAACACGATCTTTTAGTTGCTGAGCTATACCTAAATGCCACAGATGATATTCGATGGCTGCCGAATAATCGCGTAGAAGAGTATAAGTGTTACCCAAAGAATAGCACGCCTGCGCTTCTACCTCGCGATCACCCAACTCTTGGGCAAGAGCTAAAGTTCTCCTAAAAATCGAGCAATTTTTCTATGTATTTGAACATCAAAATGTACAATTGATTCGATAAAGTTGTAATACTTACTTGTAATGTTGTGCAGCTTTCTCGAATTCGCCCAGAAATATGTGTGAATTCCCGAGATTACTGTTGGCTCTCCTCTCGGCTGGTTTGTCGCCAAATTCTCTAGCAATTTTTAAACGTTCATTATGGTAGTAAATAGCCTGTTGGAAATCGCCCAGCAAGTAAAACGTATTGCCCAAGTTACCACACGCTCTGCCTTGTGCCGCAGAATCTTCCAGTTCTCTCACCAACTCCAAATTCTCTCTATAAAAAAGTGAAAAGTATTAATTAAAAAAATATTATAAATAATGTATAACTGAAAATTAATGGGAAATAATTATAAAATAATCGAAATCTTACTCGTAATAGCGTACAGCCTGTTGCAAACATTGTCGAACATCTTCAGAGAACTCTCCTGGATCCTGATGACCAATTCTACCTGCCTGTTTGCCTTTAGCATGATATACATTTCCCAAATTATACAGAGCTCTTCCTTCACTAAGCTGTGTATTAAGAAATAATAAGGATTAATAAATAATTAATTCATGGAAATACAATCTTGACTTTTAAAGCTTTTTTATTTTTTCTTTTTTAATCTTTTATATTTTTATTAAAATTGAATAATTTTAGTTTCATGCATTACACGATTGACTTACAAATAATATTGGAATATACCTTATCTCCGATTTCTCTGGAGATCTCTAGATGTCTCTTACAGCATATCATAGCTTCGTCAAACTTGCCCATAACTTTCAGCGTGTTGCCCAAATTTCCACTGGACTTGGCTTCCCCCAGTTTGTCACCCATGTTTCTGGCAAGTGTCAGATCCAACTTGTGATACTGCATTGCCTTAACATAGTCACTCAGATAGAAGTACGCATTGCCTAGCTGACTGTAAATCGCGCTTAGTATCCGCAGATCGTCTGTGCCTGCTTGAATCGCTGCTTGGAAGAATGCTACCCCAGACTTGCAATCGCCAGCTTTGCACAGGCGTTCGCCCTCCAATGCCAATTCCAGGCACATGTTCCATCTCTCGCTACTCTGATAAACATTGTAAAACATTATATTACACAATATTATCTTTGACAGAAAATTTTAATCACATAATGCATAATTCTATCCACATTAATTTGCCATAAGGCCAGTGTAAATGTGTGTAGAGACAGAAAAAATAGACTCGACAGAGGTATGAGTCATACGTGGGAGAATCAGATGTTGATTCACACTCACTTGTCCCTCGGATGAGAGGTTCTCCGCGCTGGCGCTCAGAGACATCCTAACTCGTTATATTTTTTTCTTCTTCCTCAGAATCAAACGTAATTGTTCAAGCGTCGATTGTTGGAACGTGGGTTGCTGTTGGCTCGCGAAGCGACGATGATTGATGCTCGCATGATACTAGAGTACTCCGATTGTAAAAGGAAGAATCTCCGCTCACGATCGCATCATCCTCCACCTCCTACTCCCGCGAGGGTATCCTCCGGATTTTTTTATCCTCCCGAAGCGAAGCTCCTCGACGCGAAACGACTCTGCGACGCGTCCAAAGTCCAAATAAATGGCGCTGTTTTATAGAGAGAAATATATTACTAGGAGTGCGTTCGGAAATTCTACCTATGAGCAAAGAGAAGACTGAGAAATGTCATGGCCTGCTTTTAGTAGAGCACTAAATATACAGGTATTCTATACTCCGCCATTTTTAATCCATTCCCCCTCCTTGTTTCTCGTGTCACTCGCCTCGTCGCTAAGCTGAGATTATAGTAGATAGGTTAGTGAGATTATATGGGGTGGGGGGATGGATTAAAAATGGCGGAGTATAGAATACTCATATATTTAGTGCCTTACTTTTAGGTGATCCCTGAAAGCGATACTCCCTCCATAGACATTGAAAACGTGGACTTGAACTACGAAGCCAATAATAGCGTGAAAAGAGAACAATATATTAATATTTTAAGAGAACAATATACTAATATTTTTATATAATAAATTATTATTAATTAAAAACATAATAAAAAATTCCTCATATTTAATCTTTATTTAATTTCATATAGAGATTAATAAAATAAAATATGAATAAAAGAAAATAAACAAACGAAACATTAATTAAAATATTTTTTGTACCACAAAACATAAATTAAATACTTTATAAATTACAGAATCCACCCATTATCTCTTTTCATATTTTTCTCACTCCTCCTCCTCCTCCTCCTCCTCCTCACGTCGATCGACACTCATTTTCAACGTCAAAAGACATAACGTAATTAAAAATAAAAATGTCATTTGTCATTTTTAAAAATATCTCTGCTCCTTTTGTCCCGATCTGTCAATTGAACGTCATTCTGTCCTCTGGATAACTTTCGAACACATTTCACTAGAGTTTTAATCCCGCGCATGCGCAAAAGACCCAGGTCCTCATAATTTTGAACATGGCGACATGCTGGTGAAGTGAAACTTTCGTAGCGTGAGTCGTATCATCCGTACGTCGCGTTTAGCTTCTCACGTCTGGAGCAAGTTCTCGCGCGCAAGAAAAACAGGAGAGCGCGAATACGAGGCACGTTCGCGTCGAGGAACGTCTTCTCCATGAAGATCAATGCATCCGCGATCGTTCGCCGAGTGACGGGACGGCGCGTGTTGCACGGCATCGTCCTCACCTGGCGAAGATTATCGAGTGCAACCTCCCTACTGAGGGGTTTTCATCCCGCCGGCTTGTCGCAAGTAGATAGTCAAAAATTGGAGTAGAGAGAGAAAGAGCGAGAGAGAGAGAGAGAGAGAGTGAGGATCTAAACAGGCTGAGGCTGAAATTAACGATTGCGAATCTTAGCGAGTCTTGTTCTCCCTAATTAGTTCTGTAGCTTTTCTTAGCCGACGATGAGCGACAATAAGCAGGTAGGTGAAAAACCCAGTAGCGAGGTTGCTAATCGATTTGGAAGCTGTAGGGATCTGAGCGACATTGTGCCGTTGTATCCACCGCGCTTACTTTATCTGAAACCGCTTGCCAAAGTTAACGTGTCGGTCAGTCTGCCCCAACTGAAGACTCCAGGTAAAAACATCAGCGTCATACAACGGTGGCCTCCTCCATTGAGGTTGGACCATGAGCCTTATCTTCTTTTCTCTTCTTTTTTATTTATTGCTCTTTCTTCCTCCTTTTCCTGGCTGAGAAACAGCCTTGCGATGCAACGAATTGCACAACAATGGAATTGTACGATTATATCTTTTATTTATTTTAAACTAAATTTGGAATAACACTTCTTTCGATGATCACTTTGTAATATTAATTATTTTGATATAGTTCATTTGATATTATTTGCAAAAATGATTTATATTGTTCGTAAACAATATGATTTTGTATCTTTTTATTATTACTTAGCACCTTGTCAATATTTATTCGATACATGATAATCAATGAGTTTGACAGATGAGAGTTTTTTGCTGTCTATTGTTAATTTGGCATTAATTCTCTTCGATTTGTTGCAACAAGTTTATCACATCGTCGCAATTATATACTTGTGTTTGTGTTTTGGACAATCTCTACCAAAAGGAGAATAATGTAATATTCAACTGATGGAAGAAAATACCAATGATTTCAAGTGATCCGTGCGAAGCCACGAGCACTTGTAACAGCTATAGGAAAGATAGCTTCTTACAGAAACTTAACTGCGCTATGAACAGGCAAAACAATATCAACATGGGATGTAATGGAGAAGATACGTGCACTCATCCTGCCAGACGAATTTGCGTCTCTCAAAGTGGCCAAGAGCAGCTTGGAGTTTATCCGGCTGGAAGGCGACCTGCGGGACCGTTGCAGGTTGCCAAAGGTGTTGGCCAGGTTGGATTCGCAGCGCTTGAATTTGTCCGGCTTCCCCACCGTTCTCAAGGTGTGAAAGTACAGCTAAGTTTACTTTATAATTTGGCATTGATTAATTATAATGACATAGTTGATGCGCCTTGGAACACATTAAAAACTGCAATTTTAGTAAAGTCGCATATAAAAAAAATTGTAATATTTAATTATTTAATTAATTAATTGATTAAGGTCCGCGCGGCCGAGGCCAAGGACGACTTCCCTACCAGACACAGCTGGGATTCTTACTTCAGGGACGCAAAACATATGAACGAGTTGAAGCCTGGCGAGAGGCCGGATACTATCCACATTACCGGTCTGCCGGTTAAATGGTTCATCGAAGATGATGCGAGCGTTCCAAGTGAATCGCTCATTTGTAAGATTTTCAAGAAATGGGGTCCAGTGAGAAAGATAGATGTGCCTGTCGCAGACCCCTACAGGTCCAGGATGCGGCTCGGCTCTAACATACACAAATTCAGTTACGAAGATGGTATTTTTTTCGATGCGTTCATACAGTACAACGAATACATGGATTTTGTTAGAGCGATGGATGCCCTGCGTGGCATGAAGCTGTTGAAGAAGGATGATCAGAATTCGCTAACTGCAACAATAAAGGTACTTAGTAAAAAATACATTATCTTAACATAAATATCTTTTTATCATTTCTAATATAAAAAAACATTTCCTGAAATTTTGTAAATTGTACAATGTAATGTGAAAAATAGTATACATTATATAAGTATGTATTGCAATAGTTTGGATTAAGTAAATAAAATAACAATTACAAAAAGAAATATATATTTTTCAACAAATGAAATATTTCTTGTGCAGGTTGATTTTGACAAGACCAAGCATATGAGTGACAATTCGATATCACATCGAGAATTTGAGAGAAAACGTTTGATAGCGCAGGATAATTTGGCGGTCGAGAAACTTCGAAGGAAAGAAGAGGCAGAAAAGAAGAGGCGAGAGGAACAAAAGTAAGTGTTAAAGCAAAAGAAATATTTTGCAAATAATGTATACGCACGCATATAAAGAGAATTATACTTATTTTGTATATACGATATTAAACTATTTCTATTTTAATTATAGAAAAAAAGAAGAGGCAGATTCGATAGAAAAAGTAAGCCGGCAGCGAAAGCGAGAAGAAAAACGAAAACGGAAGGTACTCACGACATATCGTAAACAAGAAGAGGACAAGGTATCAATGAAGATTGCTAGGGAAGAAAAAAAGTTGATAAAAGCTCAACGACAGTTGGAAAGCATAAGATTATTAGATGAACTGTTTGACAGGATAAAGGTGAGTAACAAAGAATATGTAATAATTGTTTACAAAAGCAAATAAGAGTTATTTATGAGTTTTGTAATCATAGATAAAAGTAGAAAATAATGAGATTAAGTTGAATCAAAGTATAAGTGCTGAAACAAAGAAAGATGAAAAGAAAAACGATCAAGTGAACGAAAGTGTTAATAAACTAGATTCGGAAAACGACAAGAAAATTAAAGAGAAACAGACCAAGAAGAAGAAAGCGAAGAAAGAAAAGAAGAAAAAAGTATGTTGTTTAATCTTACACTCGTATTACTATCGTTGATTTTTATGCAATGTGAAGATATTAAGAATTAACATTGATATGACGATATTCAATTATGTTATTGTTTATAGAAAAAGCGAAAGAAATCGCAGAAAAAACGGAAAAGAAACGATGGTTCCGATTCGGATAGCACGGAAGAGGAGACAAATGAAGAAACGAATAAGAAGAAACTCAAGAGTGTCTTGATAAAGAACGATCACGCACCTTCATCTACAGGTAATTTTGATTATATAAAATCTATTAGCATATATAAAAATAAAAGAAGGAAAGACAATATCATGTCATTAATTGCAGGTGCCATTGTTCCAACTGGAAATCTTCCTTATGCACACTCGTACTCTGATTCGAGGATGCCGATGTTACCGCCAATCGCGACCGGGCCATTTCACGCACTAAGAATATCATTGCCAAGGTATCCGGGAGCACAAATGTTGAGGCCACCAATGCCAGGCTATCCATTAATCCATCATCATCCCATGTTACCTATGGGAAGGGGTCGAAGATATAATCCTCGATTCGAGATGAATTCTTATGCACTGACCAATCCTTATTTATACAATGGTGAATATTATGAGTATTTTACGCATTTAGTGGATCGAGATTCACAGCGGCAGGAATCGAGAATACACGGACGTCGAAAATCGAGAAGTAGATCCATCTCGAAGAGGAGAACCAAATCGAGATCCAAAACGAAATCTAGAAGTGTTTCCAGGTCTCGCAGTGCAAGACGAAGCGATTCACGCTCTAAAAGTAGAAGGTCAAAATCGGGCTCTAGGTCGCGATCACGCCGTTCCAAATCGTCGCGATCCAGGAGTCGTTCTAGATCCCGCGGTCGTCGAAAATCGACAAGTAGATCCGTCTCTAGAAGAAGAACAAGATCAAATTCCAGATCAAAGCGCAAGAGTGGTACTAGATCGCGCAGTAGATCAAAGTCGAGCTCCAGAAGACGAAGTCGCTCTAGATCCAGACGAAGATCGCGGTCTAGGAGTCGCTCCAAATCCCGCAGCAGCCTCAGGACCCGTTATAAGAAGAGACGTGGCAGAAGATCCGCCTCCGTCGTTAAAGTCACGCGAGCCAAGTCACGATCACCCAGACGAAAATCACGTAGCAGTTCCTGGTCTATGCCGAAATCCCCCGATCGGCGAAGTTGTTCTTGGTCAAGAACAGTTCCCGCAAATAACATTAATGAGCAAAACGTAAGTGAGACATCCAATAAGGGCATTCAAGAGAAAGCAACGAAGACGACGGAAGTACAAGAGGAAGCAAAGTAATGAGTTATTTATATATTATTTCTTTTTTTCTTAAATGTAACAGAAAATAACTTTTTTTTTAATGCAATGCTATGTATGAGAAATTTAGCAAAATTGATATCAGTTGCAGATTCATTTGCAATATGCGAGTGTCTAAAGAACATAAATATAACTTTTTCCTTATATACAAACTGTAAATGATTCCATTATTATATAATCTTTTGTGGATTTTTTTATCATTAAGTTGAACTTCCAAGAATTTATTTGACTTATTTGACTAGGATATTAGTTTCGCTTGTAATTACAAGCTTATTTTGTGAGAAATAAAATGATCATTAATTAATATGTTTGTGACGAGTGTAGAAAGTACTTTTTAAGGGAAAAATTATTAAGATTATTAAACTTGTATATTATTTTTTCTTCAGAAGAAAACTCAGTCTTCTTAATTGAATAACTGCTTTATTTTATCCTTATTGTAATGCGTTAATTGTAAGGATTGAGACAGGAAATAAGAAAAAGATTCAAAACGCATCCTTCCGACTTGCAAATTTATTTGTTCTCGGCATGAAAACGCGTTGGTTCATAGACATCGTAATAGTTACATATGCGCGTTCCGTCCCATTCGTTAAATGGTGATCGATCAGCTTCGTTTTAATTACACTAGTAGTTTTCAAAGAGTATCTCGACCGGGCCCTACTTTTTTAACGCAGGATCGCAATTTAAATCGCTTAGTGCCATGGCGTTCGTATATTTCCTCTCCTTTAAAAATATGCGCTACGTTTCTGTCGCTGCTATTATAGTTAAATACACGTGATGTATGTACATACTTGACGCACAATCGCATCCCGCAATTACTGGCAAATTACTCGTCGCGACGCTCTTAATCACTGTTGATGTCGAGTCTAATAATGGAAGATACTTGTCGTTCTCCTCTCCTCTTCGAAACATCCTCTCGTTTATTATAAACTTACTGGGGTTATGCTTCTCTCCTCTTCTTTCTTCTTCCATTTAATTATCCCCTAAGTTGATCCTATCCTCGGAATTGATTAGATATTGACTACTTTCAAGATTCGTTGCGTGGGATTTGTTCCTTTAGATTAAAGCGACGCGGACGATAGCATCTCTCCCCCTTCGTCTTAAACTATTAATCGTTAATTATGATAATGCGCTCTCCGTGTTGACGATAATTATATTAATTACTAGCGACTTTTCTCTTGAAATACTCATCGAACCTTTTATAATGCATAGATTTGTCATCATTTAATTTACACATAAGGAGAATTATGCGTCCAAATGCAACTATAATTTTTAAGTTAATTTTAAAACTCCTAAAGATTATATATAAGCGATTTAAAAAAATAGAACGGTAACATTTAATTCATTAAAATAATCAATTTTCGAGCAGAGTTTTTTTTAGTACTTTCTTATATTTAAATATCTCGTATAAATATTCAAATAGCAATTGTATATCGACGAGAACTGCTTTCTCGAATCAATATCGAAAGAATTATTCTCGCGGGAAGATTGGCACGCAAATAGTGATGAATGAGCGATGAAAAATAATCTTTTTCTCGTCAAGACTTATTGTTATTATTATTATTTTTCCTTTTTTTTTTCTCGCGATCCATAAAGCGCTATCGTCCGCGTGAATCTTTGTTAAAAGCGAAAACCTCGTTAGCGTCGTTACATCGTTCAAGTCTAGAAATCACAGAAATGCCTGATTGCTCTTCGACAATCGACATCGTTACATCTCGACATGTGTATGTTGTGACGATAGTTATAATTATATATTGTACTTAGGAAACTATCTAATTAAATTACTTAAAGAGATCTCTAGAAACTGATCATCTTTCGAATTTAAAAAGCTCGCAACTTTTCAAGTTATTCCTAATTTAAAGAGAGCCCAAAGATCTAATAATACACAATAATACACAATTCCAATGATTACTTTCTATGTTTCGTGGACTCAAAGTTTATATTTCTAATCACTCCCCCGCATTTTAAGAAAATTTCAAATTACATAAGAGCTTTGAAATAGATTCGAAAATAACTTTTACAAGTTTCTGCAGAGCCGAATTTTAAATTAAAGATTTTTTTTTCTTATTAATAGATAGTTCCATCAAAGACAGAATGTCTGAGGCTCTATCGAGTTTCGTTTCATTTACAACTTCAAAAGTTGGTCAAAGAACTCGTAGATGAAAGCGGACTCGCTATCAAAAGTTTGGAGCATCCTGTATACATGACGTACGTATAAATATATAATTATATATATAATTATAACTATAATAAGAACAATCTTTCGATACATCGCTTATATAATTCTCGAGCAACGAGATGTAAAGTATTAACACGACACCCTGTGTGCTACTTTCTTGTGAGCTCGACTTGTCGCGAGCCGGCTCGATATCGAAAGGATACACAGAAGATGCAGCGTGATAGAAGGAGTCTCTTTCGGGAGGATCTCCCACGTCCCTAGGTAGGATGATCGCTTCGCGAATCGCTGGTTTTTAAAGTATCGAATAGGAGTTTGATAAAGGAGACCGATCGGAGTCTGAAGATCGTTGATGACGACACATCATTATTCGTGAGTGTGAACGAAACGTTCGATGATTGAGAAATAAGTATGTCCGAAAAAAAAGTATAAAAATTTATACGAAAGTCGTGAAAATAATTGCAACTTGATTTTCTCCAAGAATAATGATAATTTTTTTTTTTGCGAAAAAGAATATTTAACGTGTTTTTTTTCCAGGATTGGCGGGCAGTATCTCTTGTATTTTTTTTTCTACGCTCGTTATAATAAATCTCAGAAATGTAGCAAAACTTTGCGAGAGACAGACACTCCAGGTTGCTTTTAAGCGTATTTTATTTTTACATATATCTTTCTGGAATCTCGATTGGCAGATAATATTAACGTTATGCTATCGGATATCATTTGAGTAAAGTGTTAACGTTAATACGGTATGTTGTATCGTCAGGGTATCGATCTGACATAATAACTAATGAGTTGAAACTTTGGAGAAAAATTCATAAATGTAAAGTCCCGAATATACATAAACATCTAGATTGCGAGGATTTGAGATCCTATGAGGAGTCCAAAGTTATAACACTGCTAAATTCAAAGATTTTTTTTTAAAGTTGAACATTTCATAATTTCTGTTGTGTAAACCGCGAGAATTTTAAGGACGCACAGTCCTGAGAGTTTTCGAAATTTAATCCTCAACGTTTGCTGTCTCTAATTTTTCAATATAATGAATTCAAAGTCTCGAGGATATCCGAAAAAAGCGTCGTTCACGATTTAAACAGAGAATTTTTCGAGAATCCGAGGTTTCCGAAGATACAAAATTCCGAAGATTCAAGAGTTCCCATTTGAACCTTTGCTTTCTCTCTGAATTCTTCATCGACAAGTTTTGAGGATTTCGGTCTCTAGGATACAAAATCGCGAGGATCCTAGGCTAGATCCGGGTTAATCCACGTGTTTAGACGACACTTGATCAAATGGGAGGTGGGAGAATAATCTGGATCTCTGGATAGTCGTTGATAGGAACGCGTTAACCGGTCGAACGTGCGCCGCAAAGTTCCGTTCGCCGCGAAGTTAATTTAGTCGTTTCATTATAGCGGAGTCTAAAAAAATATCGTTAAGTCTTGTCGTAAGAAAAGTTCGCTCTCTCGGTGTGTGCTTCGTATAGTATCAAAACCACTTTTTTTTTTTTTAAAGCCCTACGAGTTTCTACCGCGATGATGCACTCGCATGCCTCTTGTTTTTTTTTTAATATTTTTTCTCTTTTTTAAACAGTGCGCGCCCTCGTCCTTTCTCTAACGAATGTGTGTGTATTTCATTTTATACTCATATATACGTATATACTTTACTTTATCTCTGTATATATATTTTTTTATGTATATATATATATATATATATATACGTAATTATATATGTATGCTAATTTGTGCCTTGCCCTATGTCCGCCGTCGTAAAGTAATCGAGAGACTAATTAATAGTAACAACTTACACGATATTATATATTTTAGCCAAGTTAGAATATATGTATATGGGTTTTTCTCTTTGGATATATATTTATATGTGTATAATGCTTTATATTTATATATAGACCTATTGCCCTAAACCTGTGTAGGAAGGAAACTTTCTCTAATCGTTAATAATAGTCCGTTTTGTTCCAAGATCGTGAATCTATCGATGATGTAATATCATCGTGCATGATGCGGAGATGGGAAAAATATTATAGCTATGGTCGCGCAAACAATATATATGTAAGAGCTGTAACAGCACAAGTTACAATGGATTATAAATATAGGCGCATATTGCATAATATTACGCGTGTAAAATCGAATTTTAATGAATAAATTATGACGCATAATATCCTGCATGCATTAAAAATATGTGTATTTATGTTCGCGTGATGTTCGACGAAGATGACACTCCAAGACCTCGTGATTACTTTCATACTTTATGATTTCGAAATCTGACAACAGGTCGATGTGTGTTTAACGGACTCAAATCTGTAAAATTTCAATAACTCAAGGCTGTAAAGGGCGGACAAAGAAATTTAGATTTTTGAAGAATTTGAATTGATTTGAAGGAGTTGTTGTAGAATTCGCGTCTGGCAACGTTCAAAAGCTTCGCGAACAAGCAGACATTTCTAAGGAACCAGTTCTCGTACCTGAGGATCCCGGATTAATGAATCAAGTGATGCGAATGAAGTGAATGGAACAAGAATGAGATGAATCAAGTTTCTCTATCTATTGTATAATGAAGACAATGAGACGGTATTAAGAGCACAAGTATAACAACAGTACGCGTTACGCTGCGTCTTGTGTGGGTTCTTCCAATGCTCTCAAAATGGAGAGAGAAAGAGAAAGGGAAAGAGAGAGAGAGAGAAAGAGGGAGAGAGATAGAGAGTTAGAGAGGAAAAGAGGGCTCGTTAAAAACAAGGATTCCTTAATACATGGTCGCTAGGTCACCCTATGTAGATTAATAGATAATACTTTTACTTTAATTAAGTTGTTGGTCATTTTACGTAACAGTTAAATGGCGATAGAGCCCGCTAGGTATAATATATTGGTATAAGATTTCCATAAAGTGTGTCTCTGAGAGTTAAAACTCTATCGTTATTCATCGTCCTGTGTGACGATATAATTCGTAATATTCGTAATAATCATAACAATAACAATCAGAAACGAATATAGATAGTAATAACCGTAATGCTCATATAAATTCGCTCGAGACTGCGCTCGCGTGTGTTTAACTGTTTTTTTTTTTTTTACTGCTTTTTGTCTCATTTATTCATTTCTTTTTATTTACTGTTAGTTTTTATTAACTGCGTGTAAAGATTTAAATTGATCACCGCTCTCCGATCTTCGACACCTTCGATTTTTTTTTCACGTCTTCCGTATGAAGTATCGCATCGCGCGATTGGCCCTTAAAATCGTTAACGTTAATGAATAACTCACATCGCGCTAAAAATTATTGATCATTTTTTCGATTTCGGTTAACGAACCGTCGTGATTACCGCGTAAAAAAAGGAAGAAACCATTTATTTTTCACTGCTTTGCAGTGCACACTAAACTTAATGTCCGAAAATTCGATAATTTAGAAATTAAGAAGTTGAAAATATTTCAAAGAATCAAGATTTAAGATTACAAGAATTTAAGATTATGAGAAATCAGTCCTGTATAAGAATTTAAAGAATCGCGAATTCTATATGTTTTGAGAAAGTTTCGCAAGTTCCTAAGACGAATTAATATTTTGTTTTCTCTCATTCTGAACCACAATTTCGCAAATTGTTTAAAATTACATTAAGATTTAAAGTTTGAATTGATTCAAATTTCTCATTTAAATCTAATATGATAAATATTCAAGATTTTTTTAACATCTCTCGAATTTCTCTAAATAGATAAATATAAAGATGAACGAAGATCGTATAAGATATTCATCAAGTCTGCGTCAAATTTCGAGTGTGATGAATTTTAATTAAATCTTTCTTCCTCTACAAGTAAAGAGATTAAGATACAATTCTAAAGAGTTTGTATAGAAATCTCAAACAATTCTAATCATTCTAAGTGTTAATTTTCAAGAATATAGGTTCTTAATAAAAAATATCAATATATAATTAATTATCTACATAAACATTATCCCATTTTGAATTTTAATTCACAGCTCATATAATCACATTACAAATTTACTACATTAAAATTTAAATATAATTGCAGTTAAAAATTTCAATTAATTATTTTTTTAGTTACTGAAATAAATGAAGTATGAAGTATATAAAGTCAATTGCAAATTTATTAATTTGCTTACACTGAAATTCGACGCAGAGGGAGAGAGAAAGAGAGAGAAAGAGAGAGAGAAACTTTATGCAATATCTCCATATATATCCAATGACACGAAATTAATTTTTCATTAATTTTCCTCGTATCTGTATGTGTACCCTTATATGTGTAATTCGCGAGCAAACGCATTTTTTTCCCTCAATTATAGTTTTTTCTCCCCTTCATCATAATATCATGTATAACTTCACTACGTCGAAGAGTTCGGTAATCATCTACATACTCGAGTTCCTTTTTTTTCTATATTACATACTATAACAATGTTATCGAATCGGTGTCTATCACCTAAGAACTCGATATTGAGACTGTTTTAATTTTATGTTTTTATACTTGGCGTGGTCTTCCTGGCACCATAATGCACTTTTAAGAAATCTATATAAAAATATCGTGGAGTTGTCGTGTCCAGTGCGTTGAGTCGCGAGCGAAAGAGGAATGCTCCTTAAACTGGGTCTACAATAGATGTAGCAAGCTTTAAGTCGTAAGAACTTTATCAATCATATTCAATTATTCTCCTTTCATTCAACAGTGATTGGTCAATATCTTACGTTTAAGGCTTATTACATCTATTACAGATCCGGTTTTAAGCAGGAAAAGAGTAGGAAAAAGGGGAAGAAAACTTAAGAAAGGGGGAAGATATATCGGAATAATCCAAGGAAAACTGATTAAAAAGAAAAAGCAGTTGGATGTTACTCGATTGAAAACTTCATTCAGATAAAGAGGCTGACTAAATGAAAGAGTCATTTTTACGTACACGAGATAATCTTCCTATTCCGATAGAAATTCATTCTACGCGATAAAGTGAAAAAATTTCTAAATTCAAAGTATCGATCGACACGAGAAAGCTTCGAGAAAATAGTGTTTCATTTTATAAATACAAAAAATTATTCGATATTTTTTACGAATTATACCAAATAGATGAAAGATAAATAGAAACGTTGTGAAAGTTAAGCGAGTAGATGGTAAAAGTTTACTACATTTTTCTTCGTGGAAAAAGAAGTATCTCTATGAATTCTTCCATTCTTGTACCAATACATGTAATTGCCTTAATCGATTTTGCTATCGAAAAATTTACTTGTACATAAAATATTAAAAGAGTAAAAAGATTACTCGTAGTAAAACGCATAAATGTTTCATATCAACGGTATTTTTTTTTATTTTTCGATAAGGAAACCACTTTTATCCCAGAGTGAATTTCCAATCTACTAAAAGATAGCAAAGTACGCCAATCATCGAACAGTTTCATTTAACTCTTTTAGTTTTTCTTAGTCGACTCTCTTATCTAGATGAAAAATCTGCCCAACTGGAAAAAGAAGAGCAAAAGGAAAAAAGAAAAGAAGGACACGATGAGAGAGGGATAGGATGAGAACGTTGTGAAAATTGTGTCTGTTTTGGTCCCGTTTCGCATTGCGATTAGCCGCGAAACTACGCTTTCGAAATGAAACGATGACGGACAAGACAAACCAGGTCCCAGCTTTATCCGCGTTAGTGAGCTTTTTCCGCGTGAGCTTTTCCTTGTGAACGGTCGAGGATAAAGGCGGCTCGACCGAATCTTATCCCTTTCACGAAATTAATTCGCAGCCTTTAATAAACGTCAATTAAACCTGAGACTCGGATGTTAATGAGTAAAATATTAAAAATGAATACAAGCTTTACACGAAGTAGATAGAAATAAAATTATTCGATTGGACTCAATTTATTCTCATAAATGTTTCTCAAAAATGTTCTTCAAAAAAACACTTTCGTCCTCAAAGATTCATAGTCAATTTCGAAAAATAAATTCAATTTAATAAATAATTCAATTTAATTTAATAAATAATTATTTGGATTCTTCTTAATTTAATGAAGAAGACAGCAAATATTTTAAAATATTTTAAAACTTCTTAAATAAAAATTACTTGATAATTTACTACTGAAGGGATGAGGATCGCGCGAGCTCGCCTCGTAGAGCCTCGATAGAATCTCGGTTGCCGTCGTGCACGATTATGGTTGCCTTGGCAAACCGCATCGCGCCGATGCATCGAGATCTGAACATCTTCGGGACTAATAACGTGTAGGAAAGAATAAACGCGCTGTGTTACAGCTGCGAATTACAGCAAAAGTCGTATAACCGTGTCCCGGAAAAAAATCGAACTTTGTAAATCCAGATTCTTCATGTATCTTTTCAGATCTAAAAAATCTGGATTGTCCACGACCGATTGGATAGTCGCAAATTTGCATTTCGGTTCTTTCCGGAACACTCTGTATTTTTGGCGCATCAGGCTTCCTTTTGTTCATCGTCTCTTCTTCGCCGAGTACTTCAAAGCAGCTTTTAGCTGTCCATTTAATCATTTCTGAAAAAACTGCAAAAAAATGAATAGATAAAAGAGATAATTACGACAGCTATATAGTTTATGTTTCCTTTGCATAGTAAATTATTTTATATATTATATATATATATAAGCAATCAAAAATTAATGCAGGGGCGATTATTCGAATGGCGATAATTGTTGACATGAACGAAAAAGCCTGATGAACGCCTCCGAACGGAAAGTCGTTGGCAAATAATTACTTTCCCATTGTGTCTGGTCGATTCGTTTAATTAAGCCTACCCCCCTCGCGTCGCGCCGCGCCATCCCCGCGCGCGGTCGCGGTTCCATTATAAAAAATCTTCACCCCCTTCCTACCCTTCCCTCTTCCTTTCAGTGGAAACGTAGCCGCTTTTTGTACCCGTGCGCCATAGAGAGTACAAGAGTATTACACCTAACAATATAATATCCTACGTAACCTACGGACGTTAAAGCGGATAAGATCACTTTGCATTCTCTCTCTATTTGTTATTTCCTGGACACCCGTCAGGTTTGCGCCGGCCCTTAAAGCGTCCTTTTACGCGCCTGATGAGAAAAAAAATTTTTGCAATTTTGTTGTCGATTCAACCCTATCGGAGTAATTGCACGTCTAGCGTTAAACGTAATCCCGAGTCTTTTACGTTTGAAACATCTGTAACACTTGTAATATATTAGATTTACACGGAAAAAATATGGATTCTCAGTTATATCCGAACGTGTTAGAAAATGCAAGTTCTGCGCTTTTATAGCCGCTCTCATTCAGAGAATGCACATACGAACGATTCATTATATATATAGGTCATTTTATACTTTACCTCGAGCATTGGGATCGGCGAGATCCTAGACTTTGAGTGCGACGTATGAGATACGAATATAACAGTCCTTTTGTAGCGCGCTTTCCATGAGGAAGGGAAAGGGATGGTTTACCTTAACCACGCGCAAAAGGCTTTAAGAGCCAGTTTGGTTTACCTCCGGGCTAGTCCTTGTCCGCATACGCTTCCTGTACACACACGTCATGCCTGTTCGCTCTCTTCACAAGGTATACAGAGATACAAGGTGGAGAGTTTTCTGTATGTATGTATGTGTGTGCGTGTGTGTGTGTGTGTGTTTGTGTGTATGTCGAAAATGTACATTTAATTATTAAGAAAACAGTTATTCAGGCACGCAAGTTGGGCAGGGGAGCAGCGCGCAGCTAGTGGAAGAAGCCGCGCGTACCTTGAGAGTTCCTCTCCTCCGTGTCCGTCTGAAATCGATCGAGATCGATCGATTCGATTATTTATTCTATAAAGTGTTTGCCAATGTTTAATTCTCTCGATCGCGCACGACTGTGTCTTGTAAAAGAAATCCAGATCCCTTTTAATTGCGTACTTGTGTCAAAATTGACTAGCTAAGAATTATGAGGATTGGAAGGAATCGAGAAGATTGACGAAAGTAGGCGATTAAATGGATGTAGAAAGTCGATTCCTCTCGCGCATAAATACTTCAGGAATATGGTGAGAGCAAAAAGATGAAACATAACGCATACAACGTTTCACAGACAGTCGTTACGTATGCCGCAATTTCTGAATTCTTTCGAATCCCGTGCATCTTGCATTTCAACGAAAGCACAACTTCTCGAGGAGAGACCCGAAGGTGCGCGCGGGACGCAACAAGGCCCATCCTTAGACGAGTTTCGCACGAAAAACAGACGGCCGTGTTTGATCAATCTAGTCACCGTTCTCGCTTAGAACAGCGTCTCTTTGTGATCCACGCGGCATCCGACGATTATACTTTTGCGCTAAAAAACAAATCGTGAAACTGAAGGAATTATTTTCCAGCGGAGACATCGGTAAATTCATGCGAATCATCGCGATACGACAATTGGATACAGCCAACGTAGAAGTGAGGAGACATTGCTCTAGACGGGAATTTGTTTCATATTTATTTGTGCGAACCTCCGGCCGACCTACGTACAACCGTAACGTACAATTTGATATACCCCGGCAGTACTATACGTCGACTATATAATATGTCGGTGATCACCGATTAGTGTCGCGGCACGGCCGCGGTCTGCGATTACGCGGAAACCGGCGTCTCGGGCCTTTTAGTACGAATGCTGCGGCTGCAGAGACGAGACTCAGCTGTGCGCCGACGTGTCCGAGCCTTGGCTGTTGCCTAACCCGCCCATGCCGGCCTGGGAGGTGAGTCTGGTGGCCGACTGCGAGGTCGTGGTGGTCACCGTGGCGGAGTGACTGAGGCCGTGATGCCTGCCAGTCTCCGGCACCAGGTGAGGCGTCCGGCTGGAGACCGGCGGTAGGACCGGGCTGACCGGCCACGGGTGCAGGGACATGGTGCTGGGTGCGCTGGGCACGCTGCGCGAGTGCGGCAGGAGAGGGGAGTTGGAGAGGCTGGCGAGAGGGTGGTGAGCGGCAACGGATGCACCGCCACCGCCGGAAACGCCCAGGCTCGTGCCCGACGAGATGGTTCCTCCTCCGCCGCCGCCACCGCCGCCGGAAGCTGCCATGGCTACCGCGGTATCCGGATGGAGGAAATTACGCCGTTGCTCCATCCGCTCCGCGTGCTGAGCCAGACAGCGGGTCAGCTCCTCCGGCAGCAGCTCCAGCTGACCCTGCAGCGAGGTCAGCTTCTCCTCTAGGCCGACCAGACGGTCCTCCAGACCCACTAGACGCTCTTCCACCGCGTCCTGCCGCGTACTCATGTCCGAGACGATCTCGTAGACGGTGTTTTGCGTCTGTCGGAGTAGATTAGACGTTACACGTTGACGGGGTTAATATTCTTATCCGTTTGCGGAGAAGATATTTACAACTATCAGAAATAAATAAATGCCAATAAAAAGAATATTATTAATCCTACGATAAAAAGGAACACTTGAAGACAAATTTATTTTCGAAAAACTGCTCTGCCTAAAAAAAGCTTTCAAGAGATAATCCCGTTCAATCCCTCTTCAATCCGCTCGCTGTTGTAATATTCCGTCAGGCTTTGTAAGCGGAAGAGCAGTTTCCATCATTAGCGCTGATGATCCTTACCTTGGCCATGTCCGTTATAGTGTTGGCGTTGTCCATCAATTTGCGCTGATCCATTTTCACCTTTCTGAGTCTGAAATGTTGAGGCAGTTCCAAGATAGAGTTATGCGATTACATGCGCAATCCACTCGGTGTTTCTGTTATCGTAACCGAGAGTACGGAATATCGACTTACGCATATATGGCTAAGAGGAATTTCCGCTGATGGGTCCGCACGCGTCCAGGATTGACGCGTTTCACCAAACGGGTGTGCTTGTAGATCAGCCACGTTTCCCGCAACACGTTCGCCGCGGCGTTCTTCAACTGCAACAGACCGGGCCATTCTTGTCAATCCATTCAGCATCAGCTGACTCTCGTCAACGAATCATCGATACTTTATTGAAAATCTCTTTCTCTCTTTCCTCTTTCGGAAGTTTTACAAATTTTTGTTTTGGACAACGCGCATCCTGTGAGGGATTGTAGCCTTGTTTACGTAAGATGAAATAATAATGTTGATAAATTTTTAATTGAAAATTACGACGCGCGTACACGTTGAATTATTTAAAATATATTTGCCAAGTAAACATTATACCGTGCTATTAATCGCGTAACTCGTTAGCTGCGACAGTATTCATTATGTCACGGTTAATTAACTCTTTCAAGATCACGGGATAATTTGTCTCGAAGAATGATTAATGATCCGTTGAGAATATACATTTTCCAATTATAATTTACATTTTCGCTTTATTCTCACTTAACGAGAAAACTTTCTAAAAGGACTCTACAAATTTTTAAATCGTTAAAAGTATAGCTCTTTCTCTCGGAAAGATTGATTTGTTCGCTGCAAACTGTACACCCTCGAGGGGAAAAAAATTCGTTTCGAGGATTTGACATTCGTTTTGTTGTACCGTTGATGAAATCAAATTGATTTCGCTTATGCAATGACGTGAAAAAAGCGATATGCATCTGAGGGTTAAAGCGGCGTCGATATAGTTATGTGTATGGCTCTACGTTACCACTCCTTGATATTTGCAAGGTTTATAAATAACGCTGGCTAATAATTATTTCAGTAGCCGTATGGTTGAAGGCTTCGATCCAGAGGTGGAGAGAGAAGCGACCGTACTTATGCTCTAGCTTAAACTCACTAGCAGACATATGACAAATTTAAATTGCACCAGGAATGGAATTATATCTCAACGTCTTTAATTAAAGACATCGTTTTGCAACATGTTGAGCAGAAATACTTTCGCAAGCACGATGGAACGTATCGGAATAGAGAAGTTAGAGACATCTTTTTTATTTCTTTGCGAAAAAGAGGTTGCGAATCGCTGCATATTAACCCTTTATCCGTGACACAAGCAATCGATACATCATGATTTGCAACGAGTCGCCAATGGTTTCTTCGTGAAAGAAAGAACAATATTAGAATCTACTTTTCCGGCTTCTATATTTTGAAATTCGAAATAACGCTGAATTTTTCAAATCTAAAGAAATTCGCGAGTTTCTCACTCGTCTTATTTTTATGTATTCGTGTCATTATATCTATTAACTTTTAAATCTTAATGACAAGGTTTTCTCTAAACCAACAAGTTTGTGCACATTCTCAACTTTTAATTCTTCGCCCCAAACTTGTTCCTCGTGTTGGAATTTAAAATTAGCGAAACGTGGCGATGAATTATGGCATTTATTCTTGTTGCAAAGTGTTCTAGAAATGTCAAAATTTTTCGTGCAATAATCGGAAAGCACTCACAAGTTCAAACAGGCCTTCTATTATCAACTTTATGATTTACCCCCCCGAGAGAGTTGCCTTTTATTTCTTTGAAACTTTGTTGGGATTGAATCGATCGACGTCACATTCCTTTCACGATGACAATGATACATTAACTGACTTCCTCGTCTCAAGTCTCGACCTATCATCTAGATAGACGATACGATGATACTATCTACTTTGACAGGAACGCTTTCTCTTATCCTCATATGAAAGTGTGTTTGCACTCGAGTCCTTGAACTTCAACCAGACTATCGGATTCAGAATCTTTACTACACGTCTGACATCGATGCTTCGATTTGTATTACGGATTTTTTTTATGATTTTTAGATTTTTTTATATTTGAGAATTTTCTTTTTTTTTATAAATTTATAAGAGAAACTTCCCACGTGCGATAGTCTTTTTTCACTTTTCTCTCGTCCTTTAATCTACTGTCTCGAATCTCAAGCATCACGATGTCAAAGTTAAGAATTCAGATTGGACGAAGGGAAGTCTGTTTTGCCTAAAGGTCAAAGCGACTTCGCCGATCGACTTTGCAGTCTGCTTATTTCCGAGGCAACCTTACTTACAGTGAGATACTTTCTTATTATATGGTTTAACCGGAAAATTACGTCGCGCTATATATATGAAGAGCGATATCCATCATGCTCTTATTACGTGCTTAATTCGCTTTCCTGATTCTTACGGGATACCGTTGACGAATATATTTCGTGCCTCGAAAAACCTAGCCTAGAATAACATTCTCCGTTTATTATAACTTTTTTTTTCAACTTTATACTTTCGAATCTTTCACACGTATGTTCGTATCATCCTTTGACATTTTCATCGCGATCGCGATTTAGATATCGCAATGAAAAAGTATCAAGAAATTCTTCAAGTAAAGAAAATCGTTCAAGAGAATCTAATTTTTCTGGATCTTTTTAAAATTTGGTAAATTACAAACTTTAAAAAAGTTTCTGTCTTATTTTATTTAAAATATACTAAAGTAAAAAATAAAATGTATTAAATATAATACAATATTTTGAATATATAATAATAATATTAATAATAATATATATTTATATTTATATAAAATTTAGCACTTCTCTTTTTATATAATTGCATCTATTTATATAATTTAATACTTTGATACACACAGATAGCTCGTTTCACTTCAGAAACTTATTTGCTATGCATATCATTAAAAGTTGTTATCTTATTTAACTCAGAAACTTGCGCAGAATAAACGTATTATATAATGTATAACGCATGGTTGATTATGATATTGCAACAATAGACAGCTCTGATATTTGTAAAATTTTCAGTTAATACCTTGCATAATTTAATTGCTTATTTAAACAAAAGAAAATACTATTTTACATATTTTATCATCATGTTATATAAATTCTACTTCTAATCTCTCTTATTTCAGGGATTGCTTTTTATCAAATTTAACAATGCGTCATTAAAATATTACGTCATTTTAGAATGAAATTTTCCACGAAAATGACCCGGCAAATCAAAAAACTTAAATGTCTCGATATTTAATCCACTTACAAGTTCAATAAATGTTTAAGCAAAAAAGTTTCGATTGTAAAGACGTTGTAGCTCATGGTAAATGTCTATCTCTTGATTGTCGATCGATGTAGGAACGGTGAAGACCGCTATATTATATCAGCTATTATAAATTGGTATAGACCAAGAGCTCTACTGCTCTCTATGTGAACCGAACATGCTCTCAATCGAAACCGAAAATACCCTCTAATACAATTTATAATCCATGATATTCGATTAAAGGATTTCTGCTGCATCTTGTAAAGTTTTTTATTGCTTTAAAATTTACGTCACTGTGGACTGGAATAGCATCGCAAGAACGTTTTGCTCTACAACAGTATAAAAAATTCTCCGCCATATTAAAACACTACGTAAAGGTTACCATTAACGTAAAGGCCTTGTAATTCTATGGATGAAGAGCAAGTGGTCTTACCCTTTTTGTCAATTGCGTGTCCATCATAAAGTTGTGCACGTGCTTCTCCGCCCGCGTAAGTTCGAGCTTCCTGGAGACGACTGCCACCAGCAAAGCAGTGCACCCGGCGCCCTAAAAATTTGAAAAAAAAATTTTTAATGTAATTTTCAATATCTTTCTCGCTTTCAAAATTTTGGTTTTGTCTTTCGATCTAGTGCTTTCTTTCCCCAAGAATATTCAAATTGCTGTCAAGAGTTGGCGGTAATTTAAATACCCTTCGCACGAAGAAATTTATTTTCAATAACATAAAACTGATTTTGGTCTTAATTATATTATTAATTTTGTAATTTCTCAAGTCAGTTTCACATCAGTTTCATTACTTTGAATTGCGGGATTATCTGTTTCGTTGGAAAGCACGATGTTCCTACGTGAGATTACCGTTAAAAGTTAACAGCCAGAATCCCAGACCAAGCAATTTCGCACAATTTACGCGACGCTACCAGCGGATTTAACGTGCACGAGAGAAAGAAGGAAAGAGAAAGATTATTAACTAAAAGGGACTGATGGAAAAGGGAGGAGGCGAGAATTTTGCAGCGTATTGCGATTCTTGCTGGAGACTGGATTTCCGGCAACAGCCATCGTGCTCGCGTAGCGGAAGTTTACGAGGAATTGGCCAGCATCTCTGGAATCGACCATGCGTTGGTTAGCAGCTCGGAGATAGTTACGAATTAACAGGAGTTGCGAATTAACTCGCGGAAGTGCGAGTGAGATGCTCGACGGAAGGAAGGTGCATATAACAATCGGGAACGACTTCCCACATTCCCATGGGAGCGGCGAGCGGAAACGCGGCGTCTATTGTGTCCTTCGTCGCCTTTAATTACACAGTTGGTGCAACTATTAAAGGGATAGCGGGACGAAACACCGGGTAAATCACGAAGAGCGATTTGTCAACTACTGGTATCCGAATCGTCATCGATCGCATATTATGGTCGTCCGGATCTGTAATAAAGCCCAGGTCGGACGTGGTGCTTAACGCGAGTTACATCGAGAGTTACATGCCTGCGGAGTTCCGCGGACCTGGTCATACAGTATATTGTGTCTCTGCAGTTTGCGGTAACCTTAGTAAGGATTAACGACCATGGCGATTGATGATGCCTGTAATGTGACGCCGGTGAATTTCGTCGGGATAATTATTACACGTTAAGGATAATAAAGATGATTTTATCAAAAAATAAAATATAACAAATTATTTTTCTAAAAAAATTCCTTTTTAAAAATTCCCTCCCTCTTTCTTTCCTTCTCTCGCAAAGTTTTATCGTACGTATACATCTGCTCGGAGACGCGTTATGATGATGATCGATATTGAGCGAAGATGCTGGGCGATTGAAAAGAAATCATGAGATGGTGCCGATTTACGTTCTGTCCTTACCATCATCCCGGTGGAGACGGCTATACCTCGACCGCAGTACGTGTTGGGCACAATGTCACCGAAGCCGACGCTCAGGAAAGTGATGGCGATGAGCCACATGGCGTTGAGGAGATTTGCGTGTTCCTCGTCGTGGAACCTGTCGTGGCAAAGCGATAAGGAGATTATTTCAACGACGAGCGAAACGATGGGGGGAATACAATATTTTGCTCTTATGAATCTTTAAAATCTCTTTTTTAAATCTAGAAACGTATTCTGGGTCAGATAATTAGTTTTTAAAATATATAACATAAAGTAATTTTAAATAACGTGCCCAAAAATAAAAAAAATTAAAAGTACGATTTAAAAAAAAACTCTGCGTAATCCCCTTTTAATTTTGTCAACAATAAAAATCTAGAAAATTGTACATTGATTCAATAGTAAAAATTTTTAAATTGAAATTAAAAAATTATTTTAAAACATCTCTAGTTTAATCTTCTTAATATTATTTAAAAATATATAATTTCTAAAAATCAGATGAGCTGATCCAGTTTTAATAGCGGCTTGATATATTCATCTTGTTACACCTAACGTTCAATCTTTTATACGTGGAATAAGCATTAGGGCAACTATGGCAAGTTGGGGCATGAATGATAGTATTATTATACCCCCCGTGAGATTCATTATCAGACACGAGGAGGATGCGGGCGGCGTAATCTCCGTCGTAAAGTGGTTTTAACGATCACATAACACAGTCCGGTCGACGTTACACGATTTCATCTTCGTTCGCATCTTTTAGAGCTCGTCGAGAGCTCCAATCCTCGGGATCTACTTGACTCGACTCGCTCGACGAATAGGAATTGTTCAAAATGCTGAATCGATCGTATTAAAAATTCAGTGTTCTAATACCTCTTATCCTTTCCAAAAAAAAGATAAGAATATTATAAAAAAATTTAAGACCATTGTAAATTTCTGATAAGCTTCAATAACAATAAATGTTTTCAGTCACAAAAGCTGATGGAGAAAAACTGTTCGAATAAGATTAATCGTGTAACAAACGTGATTTCCTTCCATTTTTCTTATTTATCCTCCGTAAAATTGATCATTCGTGCTTGATACGACGAACAATCCGTCCCATAAAAGTCCCATGGAACTGGATTATTCTCGCAGCAACATTGATTGCATGAGCGATTGTCGACCGTGTACCATGAAAATCGCGTTACTGTCGTGGAAATTCGTGCTGTCACGTAGGATACGCGGATGCATACTGAATAAAATACTATTCGGATTTCGTGACAATTTCCGACCCCATAATCCGAGCGTGAAACTGGCCGCGGGGCCCGCGGTCATTTATGGCGATGCAAAAGCAAAATTACCAAATTGATCTTTTAATTTTTCATGTAGATGCAAATTCGCGACCGCAAATTCAATAATTATTTAATTCAATAATTTCGAACCATTAGTTAGTTTACGTTAGCGAATAATGCGAGGTTATCATGTATCGTTAGCATAATTTTATAAAATTATAAGAGGAATTTAACATATTTACATAATAATGATATAAATTTATTAATTGCAGAAAAATATAAGCTGATGATAAAGATTATAATATAATTGACAAAATTCAAATATTTATTTAATATTACCAACAACAAATATTACAACAACATTAAGAGAGAATAATATAATAATAATAATAATTTAAATGAATTTATTGGAGGTAACTATTCGGTGAATTTGATCACAAACATCAATATTCCACGCGTGTACTATTTATAAAAAATAAGGGATTACCCGAATAAAAATCAAAAGATTGAAGTTTCTTTCGTAAATATATTTATATTTTATAGTTTACCAAATGGAATTTTCCACGCGATATCGACGTTTGCGATACTCGCGTATTCGTACAATGGAAACACAGTGTCGGGAAGTTGAATGTTCCTACCATTATCGGGACTATTATCATAATCGACTATCGGAAAAGGTGGAACGCGATAAATCAAATGCAAAAGCGCACGCGATTTCAATGATCGACCCCTCAAGCGAAACAATGAAACAGTCGATCGCGAATTCACAGAATCGTTCATGGCCGGAGACTTTCGCCGGATGCCGGACAAGCAGAGGGAGATCAACATTAGCCGAGTGATAAATATTTCAGTTAAGCGCGTAGGTGGATAAAAGCCCGTCCATTAAGAAAGAACCGAAAGGTTTTATTGAGGTGACGGATATAGGAGGAATCCTTTCTTCGCTTCTGCTTCGAGGCACCTGACGGGGTCCTTGAAGGCATCCGGCTGCCTCGATATTGCTCAGGCAAAGATTGATTATTCCTGAAATCGCGGCGTGGCTATTTACAGGGAGAATTTAATTATCAGCCTCCCCAGGAATCACTAAATTCCAAAGGCGATCGTCAACGACCGACCCTAATCCGAGATCCTGTCTCCTTCCCTCCCTCTTCTCCCACAAGGATACCGAGATTTACGATTAACATCGCGGAATCTCGCGATGGATGGACGTGCCATTAGGTCATAGATCAATCATCGCACGCAAATGAGTCGCGTTCATTCGACTGTACACGATTTCAAAATGCATTGTCAGTGTTTCCCCCCCCCGTTGGTTAATGGATCGCGTGAATAATACGGAACAACTACTGTTACTTTACTAACGGAGCCAATGTAAAAAAGAAATAAAACACTGCTTCCAAAAGCATGAAAAAGAAGCCGAGGAAAATCGAAAAAAACTAGAAACAAAAGAACCGAGAACAAAGAAAAAAGTACTTTAGATTATTATGATAATGTCAATAGTAAAACTATCGAACGCAAACAAGTCTTAATTGATTAAACTTTGAAGTATAATTAAATGACGAATCCTCATCTTGAAATTCAACATGGTTGTGCATCTGTATAATACTTGAACGGATGAAAAACTTTATATAATATTTTACTTTAGTAAACGACTCACCTTTCGCACTGTCGCAACGTCCACGAGGCGATGATCCATAGAGAGACCATGAAGACCAGCAGCACCGTGCCAGGGCAGATGGTCATCAGAGTCTTGAGGACGAACCTGGTGTTAAAGTTGATGCGATTCAAGGCCCCTATGCTACGCGACGACGCGTCCGTGAAGAGCTTCGAGTGTAGCAGCATCACACGACAGATGAGGTAGAGCCTGAGGAACATGGGCAACGAGAGGGTGACGTCGTACGGCACCCACTTGGAGCCGATGTCGCCGTTCTTGTTTGCCAGCTTGGTCGTCCACAGGAAGTAGTACTCGCCCGGAATCGGGTGAATCGCGCAGATCGTCAGCTCCACCGAGATCTGCGCGATCCGCTGCCAGGTCATCGCGATCCGCCAGTCGTCCGCGCAGTTATCGATCATGAACAACTGTCGTCCAACACAAAAATTGACAGATTATGTACTTACATGTGCATACATTCTTTCTCGTAAATCTAAGGGTGTCGTGGTCTGATGCTGTTCAGCATCGACAGAGATTTATCCTTAATATATACGATTCTTCCAACAATATTCGGATAGTATAAGTTATTACTTCAACTATTATGTATTATAATATTATAATATTAATACTATAATATTATTAAAATCATTTTTTAAAATTATTTTTCAATTTTAGAAATTTTATTATATTGCATGGAATATATAATAATAGTATAGTGTACAAGAAAATTAAAAAATTTTAAAATATAAACATATTTGCGAGATAAAGACTAATCAAATATTTATGAGTAATTTGCATTATATTAAAATATAATAATAATACAATATATATTATAATAGGATGAAAATTGCACGATTATTCGATCGTTATTTATCTCAAAAATATGTATATTTAAATTTTTTAATTCTTAGGAGAATAATATGCTTGATTATAATGATCATCAATCATTGGGATGTTCATTCCAAATCGAACGTTATTGAAAAATAGTTCATTATACCCATTCATTTCGCATGCTTGTCAAACAAAAACAAGCGAATAAATTAATTATGCCGTATCGTCGCATCATTGTGCGCCCGTTCAAAGGGATTTTTGAGTACATATTGATATCGATCGCGCAAAATTACCAATCAAGACCAAAGTAAGCCCGCGTATTCCGTTATGAAAGCTCACTCTTTGAGAGCATTTGATTAATATGAATTCCAACCGCCTTGCTCGTAAACTTGATTAAAACGCTACAACACGTACGCCATTGTTTATCGCCGTCTATCTCGCTACATAGATTCGCGTAGTTGTAACATTACACACGCCACCGCCATTTCGGCAACAAATCATCCTTAACTCGGTAACGATCCTGTCAGATCTAAACAGCTCTCGCTTAAAGGCTCCTATCCACGTGCTGCTCGGAGCACGTATCGTGCGATTTGTCTCTTATCGACGCCACAAATTTCTCTTGTCACTGGTCCTCGCACATATTTTTACTTGACTTATTTTATATTCTACTTTATTTATTTTCTCCTCGATTCTCTCAGATGTTCTAGCACATTTTTGCTCACAGAGATCTTTTATTTTATTGTCTTTTATTTTTTTTATAAATCTTGATATGGTAAATTTAAGATTCTCTTGGAAAAATCGAGGTGATAAAACGTATTTAATTTCCGATTTATTAATTTTTTATAAATTTCCTGCAAATCATCGTGATAACTTATCGCGGTATCTTGACACCAAAAACCTTTGTTGAGCGATCGTTGGATACTCGCAACATCATAAATCATCTCTCAAGTTTTTCTGTCCTAGATACAGCGGGGGTCGGACCTCAAAATTTTAAATTTCGTCATTCCGACAATGGAGTTGTGTTCCGTCCTGAAAGTCCGGGTGATCCTTAGTGGGATACGATACATCCATCATCGTTTGCTTTTACATCTTGGCGATATCTCGTGGCTTGATACATCGCGGATACTTTGCAGCTCGTATTTCTCGTCCGGCGCGAAAGATGCAACCTGCCATCGCTGTCGGCGTCCTGAATGAATTAGTATAATGCAGTGCAAGTCCATTTATCCCGAAGAATAATTCGGTAGAGACGCGGAGGAGAAGATGGTTTCGCGACAAGGAAAGTACGAGAGAAGAAAAAATCCGTTGCATCGAGAAAAACCGGAAGGGAAACTCTTGGCAATTTATGACGACAAAAGTGCCGCAAAGTTTAAAATATTAAGAATAATATCAGACTTCACATCAATGATTTATGAATTCATAAATCCACGATATTCTAACTTTCTTAATCTTTTTTATCTAAACGCACGCGGTATTACATGACATTACATGAAATTAAATGTCTTTTAAAATAAGAAATTGTAAGATAGATAGATATTTTTTTGACATAAGATTTCAATAGCCAATAATAACATTCATTAAATTTATAATTTTATAAACGCAATTTTTTTATCGATAATTTATCATATTATTTTTATCATCTCAGTAAAAACTGAGAGATCATTAATTTGATATTTGTTTGTTAAATTTATGGCGGAATCGAATGAAATTATTTACATCTAAGAATGTATAATTTTTGTCCTCAAGATTTGACACATCAAGAATCCGCGATAATTGCAGGGATCTAAATAGATTTATGAAGCACGAAATACGTATGTATAGAACAAGAAGTAGACGATGAGAAACTTGCGTAGATGACATCAATCAGAATGACGTTTTCCCGTGGGAGACCCATTTGCTTCGCAGAGTCAGGTGAATCTCGGCAAATCTGCGCATGCAAATCCTTGATAAACGACAATCAACAGGTGCCGAAAGGTCAGCAGGCCATTAGGCTCTTAGCCAGCCGTTGCCGCAAGATTGCGTGTGCCAGCTTAGAGCAGCTAGGTTGGTCATCATCGAAAATCTTTCGCTCCTAATGTTTCCGATCGCAGACAATAAGTTGGATCGATAGTTTGCTATAGTTAAAAGTGATTTTAAACAGTTTCTCGCGAATTTAGCTTCGAAACTGATAAATGACAGATAACAGACGAGCGATTTATTATCGTTGAAATCCGTTTATGAGTTTTTCGTGTTTCTCATCCGATTTAAACTTGAGGCGCACAAGATATTTGTTGCTAGATAATTTATAACAAATAATTGCTCGCTTCAAAGTTTTCTTTTTTAACGACAATTAACTCTGCGAATTCCATTAAACTAAGTTTGTGGAACTTGTAAGATGACCGATACAAACGAAAAGGTTCAAAGACTGGTTATTTCCATTCAAAGATGCAAATTGCGTTCTGTAATAAATTTAGTAATACGTAAAGTTTTATTACAATCCCAGAATTGCTGCTTGAAATTCTCGTGAAAATCGCAGAGCCTGCTTCCGTCTCGAATCAACATGACGATCCTCATTATGGTATCGCAAGGATATCACGACGACGTCGGAAAGACGGAAGAGGAGAAGGCTTCGATATATCGCGCTGAAATTGCATCGCGTGACAACTGCGAGCTTGACGAGGACGTTTTTCCGGTACATTGAGTCAGGATTATCCGTTTGGGATACGGTAACGGATGTTGGCAGCTATCACATCTTCCTTTTCCAGTTCGCGATCGACCTCGATATTCTCGGTGACGAGACTCACAATAAAGCCCTGCTGATCTGCCATTCAAAATTAACCCTTGCATCGTTTTATTATCAAGCGACATTGACACAAAACATATGCGCATCAAGAAGACTGATTTCCATTAAAAAAAAAAAAAAAACATATTAAACCAATAGTTGCAAATATTTCTGCCTCTTTTCCGCGATGCTGATTATCTTTGAGTTATATTACTTCAGATCAGTAAAAGTATGTCAACGAACAACGCATTTGACAGTTCAAATATTGAACGTGTAATTTTAATTTAATTGATTTTGAAAAACGAAGAACTAGAGAAAAAAATATCTAATTATATATCTTTTTTTTCTTGAATTATATTACATGAAAGGATACATACATACTAAATAATGCATACTTTGTAATGTTTTCTAATTTTTAAATTTTGTTTTTCGAAAATGAACCTGCGATTAACTCGATTATGCGCGATGCAGGCAAACAAAAACAACAGAATTGATTATTTAATATTTTATACTAATATGTACCGATTTATTAATTTTATCTCATTGATAACTTTAACAAAGATTTATTTATCATAAAAAAAATCCAATGTTAAGACCCCTAAAATTGCGATAGACAAGAGCAAGATTTAAAAATTCAGAAATTCTCGGCAAATCTACGATGCATTATTTTTTTCCTATAATTTAAACACATTGACATTTCTCCTATTATTTTAATATCAAATTTATACTTTTATAAATATACTTTTATACGAATTCGTTTCTTCAGAATCGCTCGGAGAAATTGGATACCAAATTGCACAGCCTTTCTTCTTAGCGGATCGCTCGAAAGTTTTGGGTGTGAAGACTTAAAAGACGGTCGTAACGTCAATATTTGAGTTGACGCTTAAACGTTCGAGCTTTGCGAAACTCGTTTCACTGTCGGCCATTGGTATCTCATTAAGACGACTTCCTATCCAGGCCGGAAGCAAGCCGAGAGCTCAGCAGAGAGACTTCCCTTCGCCGGATATTATAATGAACACTTACCGGTTCTTCTTTCTCCGCGATTTCGACGCCATTATTTTTCTCGACCTCCGCTATTGTATCGCAATCATCAGATAACTTCTTAATTTAATCGTCCATTTCATATTAAATTAAAATCCCTCCGATGATCTCTCGTTGTATTTAAAAATTGCCAAGCATTAAAGAATCGCAAATAATCCCGGCGCACATTTTCTGTGCAATCTTGACAGGACGAAACTGTTATCTTAAAAGAGGGTCGCGGGGGAGACAGATCTACTCGCAATTTCCGCAAAGATTTCCCCACTATAAAACGAAGTGGAAGTCGGAATAAAGATTCCGCGGCTTCGCCGAGACAAATGTCTCGTAAATTTGAAGCTACTCGCATGACGTTATTTATTGATTTAAACCCAAGGGTTGTTGCATATTCATTCGTTCTGCGAATACGTCGTTACTCATTCACTTGCCTAGGGTTTCAAAGATTTAAACGCAACGTGAGCTCGTCCGTAATCTAAAATAAATAAATAATCTACTGTTGGCGATCATTCATGCCTAGCGTGCGCGATTTTGTGCGTCGACTAGATAAAATTTAATCGCGCGCACAATGTAATTGGCCTTTCATTAGCGGTGCATTAATACTACCTGCGAAATCACATGCACGCTGTCATATACAGTTTCCCCGATTTCCGCGACCGAATGGACGGTCTAATGGAGGGTTGTTAAATTCTGCGATCACTGAAGCGTAATGTCTGCTCGGAACGATACGCTCGAAAACGATTCACCGGAATTATTCGTCTCGATCGCGGGAATTTAATTTGTAGCTATTTATAGTTATTATATTAGAATAGTTTATGCTCAACAATTTATAGCGATGCAATAATATAATTTGCATTATAGGTATGATAATATAATAATAATAATGAATAGGTGTATGTGTGTTTTAAACATACAAATATCTTCCAGCGAATATTGTGTATAAATTAGAAAAGAAAAAAAATGGAAAAAATATTTTATTAAGATATTTAACTCTTTCGAAATCGAAATTAAGGAGAAAAAATCTGATTTCATATTTTTAATTTAACATTACACGGGAATTCATCTTTTCAATTATGTACCATGTTCTGCCTTCTATAATAAAATTATATAGCAATCATGCGAACGATTGGGTAGAATAACGATTTTTTATTTTCGAAAAAATTGAAATGATGTAGTCCTTGTACTCTATTTAAATTTAGTGAATTTCAACGTCTAAATATTTTTCTATCTTGCTACAATTGTAATACTTTGAAATGTGCATTATACGTACCTGAACTTCTAAGGCATGGTAAGCAAATATGAGGCCAATCAGTATCACAGTAGACACAGAGATCAGGGTTTTCAGTGCTGTCGAGTAAAACGAGGCCTGAAACATACAAAATTTCGTATATATATCTGTGAAATTATTTTATATTTATTTTCTATCAATTTTTATAACAATGTTGATTTTTATATAAGATATACGATCGACAAATATATCCGGATAAACAAATATTGTTATTTCAGCATTTCGATATCGAGAATTGTGTATTATAAGTGGTTCGAGAATATATGTAAATCTATATATCAGCGATTTAACAATCAAACTCGAACAATTGAACGTTAATTTTGAGATTTAACTGCGCGTTGATTGCTCATTCTTTATACACGTGGAACAATAAAATATTAGTAGCTTTCAATCCGTGATGCAATTAAAAATGTGCTTATAAAAAAACATGAAATCTTCCTTTCTTCTATTTTTCTATCCTAAAAAGAAATTCAAAAAAATCAACAAAAGACATAATTAACATTATGTCCAAAAAATTATTCCAAGAAAGAGGATCTGAAAGATCCTCCATCACTAATCTTTTCTACGTCATTAAACATTTCGAATCGAAAGCCTCCAATAACCCGTTAATCTTTGAAATTTCGGTATAAAATGTGCACTTTATAAATCTGACATCCCCAAAACTTTCGTCTTCCTGAATTTACTGCAGTTTCCTGACATTTCGAAATTTATGAAAGTTAATTTCTACAAAGTATCGCTGCCTATTTAGTTTCGCAAATTGTGTGTCGAGGCATCACGTTAACTTATAACGAGATCCAACTTACGTACAGTAATTTCCGCTGATCTGATCGTATTGTCAAACGCATCTGTTTTTGTTTGAACGAATTTAAGTAAGCTCGAAAGACATACGCCCGGATATTCTAAAGTTTGCAGAGCGACATCACCGCTTCCCTCTCTGAAAGCAGTTCTTTGACCAACTTAAAGTTCATTTCTAAGCGTCCAACGTAAAGTATCTTTGTAACTGAGACTTATATCAAAATCTCGTTAGACTGACTTGTGAAATCGACCGTGGTTCAAGTTACAACAGATTATTCGCTACTGGAGGACGACATTGCGATGTCCAACTAACTACCGTTCTTCTCTCAATTCGCCTCTGTAACGAGGAATGATGTTCGGGAGATAGCTCCGATTCCTCTTCTTGCATGTATATAGTTTCGATACGAGTATTGAGTGAGGTTTACGTGATTTTCGACCAGGTGAATCGCGGATCTCAATAACAAGCTGCTTTCTGGAAGACCGATGACAATAAGCTCACTGACTGAGCAAAGCCTCTTTCGACCGTACAGCTTGAAAAGGGATTAAGGACTCGAAAAGGGAAAAGGGTAGAAGCGAAAGAGAGAAGCCAATTTGAATATCAATCTTGGCAAAATTTTCTTTACAAATCCCAGACATGATCTCGTAAGAGATACATAAATTTAAATGATTCTATTATTATTATCCGCAAGATTACATTTGAGATAAAGATCAAGAAAGGATTCCTTTATTTTACATAAAGGGTAATTTGTGAAATATATAAAATAAAATTTGAATAGATGAAAATATTTTGTCAAATACATACGTTGTGAAAAATTCTTAATTGTATCGTTAAATTGTCCGCTCTTTTTATTCAAGCGAAAACTTCTCTAGCGCTTCTACCGAAGCTTTCGTATCTGGTTGGGTGAGATTTCTGGTCGCCGCATAAATGGATTAAGGGATTAGGAGGCGCACCGTAAAATATGAACGCGAAATCCATTTTCGCCCGAGCTTAGTTGACTTTATGAGTGCTACGGTGCTCTTGGATACGCGAAATTACTATCATGACATTATGCGACGCGTAACAATGTCACAAGTTGAAATTTGCGTGTGTGCCTACCTGTCATCATTGCTGTCGTGACTCTTTCGATCAAATTTATTCAAAATTATTATACAAAGAAGTTTGCTTTTTCGCCAAAAACCTCGATAAAATATGCAAAAATGAACACAAAAAAATTGATTGAACACAAAAAAAAACATTAAATGCTCCAAATCTAAAACAAAATATTTCAGATCAGATATTAATAATAAAAAGTGCAGGAGAATATTTGCAGATATTTTTTACCTTTCCCAGAGGCGAGAAGCTTGGGATAGGAAAGATCAGATATTCGAAAAATGAGAAGATGTGAAAAGTTGATTCGGAAAATTCGCAGACGCGAAATGCAGATGCTCTAAATGCAGATTACAATTATCCATTTCCAAATGTCATCTGAATTTATCCCGTAAACGTATTTCAATGGGATGATCCAATTATCGGTTATCGCCTCTTGAAGATGAAAACCGTAAGCTCGATGTTGCGCGCGGTTATCGTGATGCGCCGTAATAAATTTACGAGCACCGATGCCAAAGGCTGGTATCGATACAACATGACCGGCCAGGGAGAAAGGGAGAGGATTATGCCGCTGCTACATGAATTAATGCGAATGCATCTCATCAAGGTCGATTTTCCTGAGGAAACCGCATCAGTGCATTTCCATTCTCGATTATAATTTCACAGCCGGTAGCATCTAAAGGTAATGCAGAGTTTATCTATTTCTATTAAGAGTGAGAGAGAGAGAGGAGTATCTTTACACGAGATATCTTTAGAACCTTTCCCTTTTTTTGCTCTACTTTTTATTTATCATATCTATCTTTGTTTTATTTTCCATTTATTTATACCGGGAAAAAGCGAGGCGTCTTCTAACTTGACGTTACTCCAGCGACGCGAGAATCCGAAAGAAAAGGATTAAAAAAAAAAAATAAAAATCTAAAAGTGCAAAAAACGCGGTTCAGATATTTTGGTAAAAAAGTTTGAGAAGGTCAAGGCGCGAATAAAAACAAAGCACCTGAAATGTCTTCTAAAAGTTTCGGAGACTCGCTCTCTCTCTCTTTTTTCTTAGACTTTCTGGCCGAATTCGAGATGCTATCGTAACGAGGTCCCCATCACGAAAACTAAGCGGGTAATCATCCCCTGAAAGGGGTGATCGAGACAATTAGGGCAATATGCCGTGCCACCCTCTCGGCGATTCCGGCATTCCTTTTTGTTTCGCATCAACGAGCCTGTGTCCTGACTTCTGGGGATGCATTCAGATCGCGCCGACACGTCCCGATGCCGATTACATTAGCTTCCGCTCCTCGTATTCGTACGGAAATGGTCGACAACGTCGATTACGTATGTTTCGCCCGCCTACTATATTTTCCTTCCGCGAGAGAAGGAATTCTCGCACACGATTCCCCGAGAGATATTCCTGCCCTCTTTTATCTCTCACGAGAAAAGAATCTTTTTCATCGTCGAAAATATTTTACATATATTCCCATTTATTATTTAACAGCTAAATTTAACTCCTCGCAAGGTAAAATATAACTGTTTTTTCCCTCATGACAGGAGATTACTCTCGTTATACAAGGATTATCCAGAAATTGAACGTTTCCTTGCCATCTCGTATTTTCAAGTAAATATCGCTGGAATAACATTCGTTTAAATAATATTACGTAATGCTTTTATTGCGATGCGTTTGTAATCAAATGTATCGGATGGTGTATCTTTTTTTTTTATTTAACTTTGCTTTTATCAGCATTTCAACCAGCCGACTCTTTGATATGGATTAAAAAAAAAAAATAAAAAAAGAGGAGGAGGGAGACTATATCCGAGATTTACCTCCGTCGACGCGCGTGCTAACGCCGCGTAATATCGCGGAAATCGCGAATAAAACATTTGCCAAACATGCCGTTGGAATGCTTTCAGATTCGCACGAGGTTACTATAGCGACGGCATGATCTATTCGTGCGTGTTGCAATGTGCGCATGTCGTGCCTTCGACCGAGAACGAGCGCGGCGCTTCGTTTGTGTGGTCACGCCCTGTGAAATTAACCACCTTTACCGCGTTTTTTCATGTCTGTCGAAAAAAAAGGCGTTGAAGTAAAACCCTGTTCCAGTTCCCCTGTCGCAAGTTTCGAGAGCGAATTCCTTTGTGTTCCTGACGGAACGCGCAGAGTACACGTGTCGCGCGATTTTGTGCGTGTGTGCGAATTTTCGAACTCTGCTCGAACATTGGCATTCAGTATCAGGGAAACAAAATAAACAGAGGGTATATATAAATGCGATGGAATAACATTGTCCAATTGGGGCAAAAATGCAAAATTTGACCCCAGAAATTAAAAAAAGAATTCAATGTAAAATATATCTGCCTGTACGAAATCGAATTTTTCAAAATCTAATATTATTTTGAATCCCTCACACAATATTATCTGAAAAATCGTAATCTTGTTTAATTTTTTTTTAATTTGACAAGATAACAAGAATCTTCAAAGTTGGAAAACCCCAGGTTTCAGGGAAATCAGATTTAAAATTATGCAAGTATTATAGATGAAAAATGCGAGAGGGACTTGAACTTTTCATTAACGTCACCCCGGGAGCATGAAACTTTTATAATTCTTTTTATAATTCTCCAATAAAAAGATATTTATCCGACAACGGAGTCATCGTGGTCTGCCATGTGTTTTGATCCCTCGAACAAGCGTACGTCGATTTATAACATGAATGGTTATTTATAGTCGGTTATTTTGGATTTAGGTTGCCTTTAGCTGTCAGACATTCATTCGACGCACGTGCGCTACACACCTTTGGGAAGATAAAAATCATCTATGGTTAAAAATTGATTTTTATATACAAAATATTCGTACGATGTAAAATATTTCATCGATAAATCTAACGCGCCATTTTTTAAACGGAACTCTAATGATAATTTTTCGTGAGTCAAGTAATAAGTTTCCGGACTCTGCGGCTTAATTTAGCAGAATTAATATTCGCGTCGTTATCCCAGTAAAAAGTAATTTTCTTCGGCTGTTTTCTTCATAATTTCCGCGGCAATAAGAAGGAAATGCCGGACAAGATTCTCTCTTCTTTGTGGCTGATTCCGGCGATACATCACGGGACTACGGTTTCGCTTCGCAGCAGATTATAAAGCAATCATCGCTCGACCTCTCCTCTTCCCTTGATACGGGGAGTCTTTTTTGTAAGTAGGTCTGACAAGGAAAAATAAGACGAGA